GAGCAGGGGGGCCCCGGAGACAGGGAGCAGTAGCACTGGCAGTGGTGGAGGGAACAGACTGTTTTCATGGATACAGAACAGGACTATTAGACGTGGGGTGTTTGTGGATCCAGCCAGAGACAACTTCAGGACAATGACTAGTCTGTACAGTTCCATGAATCCTGCTGTGGAGTCGGTGAACCTGAGCACACAGACCCACGGAGCCGTGTTCAACCTGGAGTATTCTCCTGACGGGTGAGACTTTAGGCCTGGTCTACATGGGCCCCATATAGTAAACACGCGTTAACACTTTTGAATAAATGAGCTAAATTTTTATCCAGAAATATAATGAACCAAATCAAAATAAAGTATTTTTATCAGGGCTTTAAATAGTCCTATTATAAATTCTAAAAAGACTAGACTTGGAGGGAGGGCTAGGATCAGCTCACAGGTCTAATGGAGTTATTAATAATGTCACCAAAGACAATTTGTAACAAAAACCTTCTTGTTTATTAAACGTTGATGACTGGAAACATATATTAAAATATATATGAGTATCAACCGACCATTGTAGCGCCCTCTGTAAGTAGGATGGGGACTTTAAATGTTTAGATGGATAGATAAACTTTGTTGACCCCAGGCTGGGGAATGACACGACCAGTGGTTAGCAAAGTGTAGCATTCTGTCCAGTAAGATCTAAACAAATGTCACCATTACTGTCCTGTCACGTGACTCCTTAATAGAATTTGTCCTGCAGTAAAACCTAATTGCCCACATCCGCCAGGGCCGGTGATACATCCTGCTGGACAAGCCGCGTCCAGCCTGGATCAGAGGCCGTTTCTGTTCAGGCGGCAGCGGAGCGGAGCGCACACACTGAAGAAGCAGCATGGAAACATCATTTTATTTAACTGTGTTTTTATCTTCCATAATGTTGATTTAATTGCAGTTATGGATCTGGGACTATGTAGGAGAAAGAAACCGACATATTGCAACGGTTTTGGCTGGAACGTTTGGCAACTTTAGTGCTGTCTGAGAAATCCACTTCCTGTCTGAATTACTATAAAAGTGAAGTGTCCGCCTGTAATGTCCCTGAGACGCCGTCTACTGTCCTATGGCTTTGACCATCCCCACTTTTGTAAATGGATTTATTGTAATCCCACCAGTGATTGTGGGCGGTAAACATACTTTTCCTGCGTGTTCTTGATGTTTTCCGTTGGACCTGTGTGTGTGTGTGTCTGTAGGTCAGTACTGACTGTGGCCTGTGAACAGACTGAGGTCCTGCTGTTTGACCCCATCTCATCCAAACACATCAAAACCCTGATGGAGGCTCATGAAGACTGCGTCAACAACATCCGGTGAGTTTCTGGACAAATCAATAAACCGTAGGAGTTAGTAATGAGAAAAAAAAAGTTCTTTAATCAAACGAAGAGCTGACAAGAAAACTGGTTAATCTGCTGCCCGTGTCCGTGTCTCGGCAGGTTTTTGGACAATCGCCTGTTTGCCACCTGCTCTGACGACACCACTATTGCATTGTGGGATCTGCGGAAGCTGAACTCCAAGGTTTGCTCGCTGCACGGCCACGCAAGCTGGGTGAAGAACATCGAGTACGACACTAACACAAGGCTCCTCGTCACGTCGGGCTTCGACGGCAACGTCATAACGTGGGACACTAACAGGTTGGACCAGAGTCTAAATCAACTGTCCAAACTTTAAGGATGTTAGTCCTCTGAGTGTCGTCCTTAACGGACGCTCGTCTTTTCCTCTGCAGGTTTACAGAGGACGGCTGCCCACACAAAAAGTTCTTCCACACTCGGTACCTGATGAGGATGCGTCTGACGCCTGACTGTTCAAAGATGCTCATCTCCACGTCCTCTGGTTACCTGCTCATCCTCCACGACCTGGACCTCACTCAGTCTCTGGAGGTGGGCAGTTATCGTATGCTGCGAGCGCGACGGACTCCCCTCACCTCAGGTCAGTGAACGGTCCGACTCTCTGTTAACTACAGGTTTTAAAGGTCTTATTAGCTTAGAAAATCTTGGCCTCATTTATGACGGTTCAAGTTGAATGTCTTGAATTGGTTTCAGTCAGTGAGTTTTTCCTCTTTTCTGATTGGATTCCAGATGAACTGGAATTTGTGACTCTTCATTTTTCACCCTCATTTGTGTACCGGCTCTTTTTTACGTTTGGTCTCAAAAAATTTAGCATTTACTGATATACACTGTTGGTGTGACATCTCTGTGGGTAACAGTGTGTGGCTGTGAGCTCCACCCAAACTACAGTGAGAACGTTGTCCTCTTCTCATCAACAGAAGACTGTTTCAATCCCAAATATGAAAACAAATGTGTCTCTTTTATACCAAATGTCTTCAAACCAACACTTCACATTAGAAGAAAATGATGTTTGGATCCTAATGTCTTTGTGCAGATGGAGGAACATCAGCCTCCAGATCAGCAGGGACTCCTCGCCAGGGGAATGACTCCAGTAAGATCCATCCTCACAGAGAAGGTGGAGTAGAACGTCACAGTCATCACATGAAAACGACACGCGTTTGGAACTGTAATTCAATGGTAGTTCTTGAAAATGTCTTCTTTTTTTCCCACTCACAGGCCTGTCTCCACGGAATAGTCTGGAGGTTTTGACTCCCGAGATTCCTGGAGAGAGGGATCGAGGAAACTGCATCACTTCACTGCAGCTCCATCCAAAAGGCTGGGCCACACTCATCCGCTGCTCCAGCAACATGGACGACCAGGAGGTGAGGGACGCTCACCCTGCGTCAGCCTGTTCATAGTGTTGGAGTGTTAGTGTTTGCAGTGATGATTTGGTCGACTAAAGTCAAAACAGTTTCACTGACAACATTGGGACTAAGGCTAAATCTGGATTCAGTCAAAGTTAACTGTTGAATCCTGTGTCTTCCCTCTCTTCAGTGGACCTGTGTGTATGAGTTCCAGGATGGGGCGCCCTCTCGCCCGCCCGTCTCCCCCCGCTGCTCCCTCCGACTCACCCACTACATTGAGGAGGCCAACGTCGGGCGGGGCTACATCAAGGAGCTGTGTTTCAGCCCAGACGGGCGCCTCATCTGCTCACCCTACGCTTACGGCGTCCGCCTACTGGCCTTCGACGAGCACTGCGGCGAGCTAGCCGACTGCCTGCCCGTCGAGACCAGCTGCCTCAGAGAGATCCGCTCCATCTACTCGCACGGTGACGTGGTTCTCACCACCAAGTTCTCCCCAACACACTGCCAGCTGGCCTCGGGCTGCTTGAGTGGACGTGTTGCCTTGTACCAGCCCAAATTTTAGTGTCCGAAAAAAGGAACCAGAGGTGAACCAACCAGCACCTGGAACATCCAGAAGAAGACTCCCTCCATCTAATAATTGCACAACAAAAGTCAGTGGAAACACTGCACTGCCCCCTCCCCCAAATTGTTTGTACAACAGCCAGTTTTTCTATCATTTTAAACCCTTGCCGGCTCAAATATGCAGATATTTGTTTGGTCGGAAGGATCTGGCTGCTTCCTCGTCAGCATTTAACCTAATTTATGATAGAACTATCAGAGGAAACAGCCCTAAAAGCATTTTGCAGTATTGTTTTTCCAAGTGCCCTGTGGAGCTGATAGATGTGGTCTGTTCAGTGCATGCAGATATTTGAAATATTTCTCATTAATGGAGGCTTGGGTTGGAGGTTCAGTGCATATTTGAATGTTGTTATTTCTCCTAAAAGCCCTCATCCATCAGCCCGTCATGACGACCCACCTCAACCATCTGGCAACATAGGCAGAGAGTGTGCAGCTGTGGACATTGGTCTGCAGCAGAGGGGGGGTCTAGTCTCTCTGACCCTCGACACAAGAACGAAAAAGTTTTTAGTTGGCTTAATAATAATCCACCCTCCATCTAGACAAACGTCGACCATCTGGATCAGGCTGGTGTCAAACACTAACTCTGAAGAAGTTTGTGTACTTTATTTTGCTCTCTCTCTCCATCAGACTCCCGGTGTCGCTGAAAAATACTAAGGAAGCGGACGGATGGGAATCCTTGACTTTTGACGGATGTTGACGTAGTTGTTTGTGACTCAGTGTCTTCTGCTGGAGAACGTGTTGCTCCAGAGATACTGCTGTAGAGCCTTGGTGAGAAGAGCACCAGGCCATACAGGTGTGAGGTGAAGGCACCGAGCAGAACAGAGCGAGCTGGACAGGTTTTTGGAATTCCACTCTGTACCGGTGGAATTCCACGGGAACGGCGGTTTATTCCTGGCTCTATTTCAGGTTCTAGTTCAGTCTTTGACTCAGAATGGAGTAAAGCCAGCGACGCCTTCACTGTTCACAGAGTTGATTTGCAGAAACCTGCCTAGGTCCAGTTCATCTTCAAGGCAGCTGCATCACTTCTTTATGGCTGTGTCCGCTCCTCACACACGGCCTGTGGCTGTTCCTCCTGCTCTGGCCTTTTCTTCTGGTGCTGCTTTCTTTTTTTATCTGCTCATACAATCGAAACCTTGACCTTCAGACTTAAAGAAGCGCCTCATTGATGCCTTTCTTCTTCCCTGGTGGCGGCGGTGGCAGCGACTTGAACTTGTCCAGTCTGTCCTCACCTTCACAGCCTTCTCATCATCATCATCATCATTTTAAAATGTTGAAACCTGCGCTCAGAGCAGCACCTCACGGCAAAGAGTAGACTCCGTCCACTGTCGGTCACAGCCACTGTTGAAGTCACTGTAGCACATGTTTCACTGTCTGTGGTTTTGTTTTTTAAATCTTAAACGTTGAGGTGAAAAAAAAAACATTCTGTTTGGGTTAACGTTGTCAAATCGAAGAAAATCACACTGTTTACATGGTTTTATGGGCCATAAATTGCAGGGCGAAAGGTTGTCTGTTCAAGCCCCGTCTGCCACAGATGCTGCTCTGGTGCAGACACACAGTCACTGATAGTCCATGAGTTAGTGTGACGACAGCATCATATGTAGGTGTGTGTAGAGCTGTTGAAATCAAAGTTAGAAATGTTGCCTCATTTGTCGGTCCAGAAATGCAGCAACACAGCACTCTGTTCTATGTAACTCCTGTGGGAGTGAGGACGTGAGGTCTGGCTCTACTGACACACAGCCAACTGCAGAGGTTTCCACTTTGGCTTGAAATAAACCAGTTACAAATATCCTCAGCAGGGGGCGTCACTCCCAAAGTAACATGTGAGCCTCCTCTTCCTTTCATAAAGTCAGATAGTCTTTCATAAAAACCACTCGATTTTTTTTCTTTTTGGTTTCAACTTTTTCGAGTCTAAACCCAATCTTTATCAGTGTCCTAGCGTGTTCTACATATGGCTGTGTAGCTAGCAACATGCTAGCATGAGGTCTAAGAGTGCCCTCAGTTTGACCTTTAGGCCTTAAGTCAAACTTCAAGGCCTTCAGTGAAACAGAAATGTAAACATTGGCTTCACTCTGACAGTCCTCGTGTGGACAGTGGAGGAAGTTCAGCCGCTGCCTCCGTCTTTGTCCAGGAAGAATCCCACCTCCACATGTTCCTCATCTATGTTCTCCATCATTCCAACATGTCAACATGCGCCCACTGTTACAAACATTGTCTTTTTCTGTGTGTGTGTGTGTGTGTGTGTGTGTTTGGCCTTCGTATAAACCTGCTGTAAATATGTTCACTCCGAGTGCCGACTCTGTTTGTTCTGGCTCTGTAACAGCAGCATAAGTTAACAGTTCAGTTGTCGATGGACTATTTTTAGCGGCGTATTAATACACGTTTGGTGCAGAGGTTCATAGAGGTGAAGGAAATTGTTTTCTATCTGATGTTAAAAGTGTTCTGTTGTCGTGTGATGTCATCAGAGGATGACAGTGACTTCACTCTTGGTTCTTGGCCTTGTGTTTGTTCATGAAGACACCTAATATACTTATTGTTAATATATACTACATCTCAGCAGTCAGTTCTCACTTTCTTTTCCTCTTCATTACACACACCTTTTCTAAAACTCCTGCCTCATCTTTATTCCTTGGTTTTGAAGGAAACCAACAGAAAATTAACTGAATTCTATTAAAAGCAGCTGGTAAACTGAATTAATAATTAATTAGTAATTAATTAATAGATCTTTTTAATTTAAATAGATTGGAGTAGTTCTTTAGTATTGGAGAAAAAAATGTCTCTTACACTGACAGAAGAGGGAGCCAGTTGACTTAGTTAGTGTAACTAGTTTTCAGTTTACATCACTGGATCAACCATCAGTAAAACAGATATTTAACGTGGTATCAAATGCCTAGCTTCCTGCTAGCTGTTAGCTGCCATAAACGTTTCTACTACAGCAGGAAGGTTAAACACAATTGAAGTTACTCTGATGTGGAAGATTTTCCTCTCTCGGACTGCATTTGACAGGAACGGAGGTGCCAGGTGGAAAACATGTCTGTTTATGTTCTTTTTATTTTACATTTGAAGTCAAATAAAGCAACACAGTGTGTATATCAGACCAGCTGACACTTAAATCTCCAACTCAACAGAAATCAACAGTATCGTCTGCAAACATGAGAAAAAAAAGTTCACAAATCCAAACTTGAATTAACACTAATGATGACGGGCTGAAGAAAAGTCCAGCTTGTTGTGAGAAGTTTCATCCTTAATGAAAATCTTATTCGTTTTCTAACCAGTGATAAACTGTTTATGTCAAGAAAGACAGAAACAGAGCTTTGCTAAACGGTGGATCAACCCTTTGGTTTTAGTCACAGTGAAGAAATGTCACTTCTCAGTTGATGAACTTTGATCCTGTAGAACAGGCGTGGGCAAACCTTTTAACTTATGGGCCACAATGGTGATAATAGAAGTTAATATTATAATAGACAAGTTTGGTGGGCCAGATTAAAAAGCCAAACGGGCTACATCCGGCCCTCGGGCCGTGGTTTGCCCAGGTCTGCTCTAGAACCTGTCATCTGGCTCTCCTACGAGGCGTCTTCATCCCGTCGTCTCTCATGCCCTCAGAGATCTGGAGGTGCGAGCTTTCCTGGTCTTCAGCGCCTGCTCCTGCTGCAGCCTCTGACTCTCCCTGCGTTGGTTGATGACCTTGGTGCTGGCGCGAAGCTTCCGGAGCCTCAAGGCTCTGATACGCATCTGAAGGTCCTGCGGGATCTTCCCTCCTTTGGCTCTGATCGCCTTCAGCCTCTCCTCGGGTGTTTTGGTGAGGGTGAAGTCACAGATGGTGGGACGTGGCTCCATTCCTACGTGGCACCGGCGCATGGACGGGAGGTAGCCCAGGGCCCAAACGATCACCTTATACTCCCCGGGGTTCAGAAGGCGCCAGTAGTCACCGTCAGGAGCTGCGGGAGACCAACGCAGGTGACGCTTTAGAAATGTAGGAGACCGGAGCTGACGGAGCCGACGTTCATCGTCATCTCCAACTCCTACTGACTGACATACTGTACCAACTTACTGCTGTTCTACCTGTCTGCTTCTGTTACCAACCACCAACCTACATCTATCTACTTATTGACCTACTCCAACTATTAACCAACTTCAATATCTATAGACACACACACTCATTTATACCAAACTATTCCTACCAACCAACCAACCAAGTCCTACACTGGTAACTACTGGTTCCTCCTTATCCACCAACCAACTCTGCTTCTCCACTGAATCAAATCCTCCATATCTGTACATCTACTTCACGTACCAACCTAGTAGTATCTACTATTAGACACCAGTACTATAACTATGACTATCTATGTAGTGACTCCTAAACCGTTCCACATTTTGTTCTTGCATCAACTTTACAGCTTGTACCTACAGTATACACACTACAGTAAGTGACTCCTGTGTTCTTATCTGAACACTGTATTAAATACTGTGATACTGCTGCTTGTACTTTGAGGTAAAATCACCATTGAACCATGCTGTGAAGGAGCAGGTCCACATGGACTGACCTGATCTGATGTCGTGGTCATGGTCCTCCACCTTAATGATAGCGTCTGGAATTCCCTTTTTGGTGATCTTGTCCCTCACCACTCCTTTAATCCCTCTGTGAACCTGCGCCCAAGTGGAATTCATGCAAAATTAGAACTTTCAATCAAACAAACGAGGACAGTATTCCTAAAGTTAATCAATGAATTTTGTATTCAGGAAGAATTGACGTTAGAATATTTTTATCGACGAAAAACAAGGCTTTTTAAAAAGTTCTTGGAATTCCTGTTTGCTTTGTGAAGTACAGATCTACACTACTGTAGGTTGACGTTTGTCCGCTCACCTGCTCCATGTAAACCAGCAGAGACTCCCTGTTGTTCTCCCACTCAGTGGGCAGCTCACTGGCGTGAGGGAATTTATCACAGGAGAGTTCTACGGTCACCTCGAAGCAGTTGGTGTGGAGGTAACTGAAGTCATTCATACCTGAGGACAACACAGGCACGGCAGGTCAGGAAAGATCAGGAAAAGTCAGGTTTTCATAAATTCGCTGCTGAAACTCACTGCCAGGGACAGTGTGCCAGTCTCCGCCGTTGATGATATTGTTGTGCGCCTGGAAATCCTCGTTGTGGCAGATGCGTCGGTCGGGATTGGCCATCACCAGGTTCGTGGAGGCGTAGACTGTGGCCAACCAGCGGAAGAATGCATCATCTGGTGTGGGTGTTTTTTCCTGAGGGGCCCAGTCACGGGTGCAGTCGTAGGGATATGAGACAACCAGCTCTCCACCGTGGAGGTTGGCACTGAGAACAAAAGGAATCTCCTGCATCCAGTTGATGACCGCTCTGGTCTCTGGTGCAACCTGGACAATGGTGGAATGAAGGGAGGTTCACAATGGACTCCTCAGGACTTCAAGTCAAAGAACTAAAGTACGTTCTTTACCTGTAGTTATTTAAGATCTTAAATAAATCCAAATGAAATAATTCAGCGTAAGGTTACCTTAAAATGCACTTATATATTGTATAATTTTCATTGTTAGTGTGAAAAAATAATATTAAAAATAAAAATAATAATATTGATACTTATATAATAATTCTGCCTTCATTCTAACTAAACAGCTCAAACGTCTACGGGCGGGTCATTGAAGGCATCACTAACAGAAACAAAGCATTTTTTCGAGGGAGATCCAAACACAGTCAGAGCTTTTAGCATTTACTTCAGCAGGTGTTTGAAGTCCGAGGTGACACAGTGTTTCTGTCAGACAAGTCATATATACAAAATACTAATCTTATATTCAAAGAACTCCTTGTATATACTGTATGTCAGTGTGTGAGCAGCATTTTAAAATATATGTTGGCCTTTGAGAAGGAAACCCTGAGTGACTGCACTCAGACTGCCAGGAAAATCAGTGTAGTCTGGCAGGAGTTGGAATAAAAACTGGGGCGTAATTATAAACAAAAACCTCCTGTTCAGTCTGACCTATATTTATACATTTACAAACCATAAACCCAACAACATCTTTTGCTCGGAGCATAATACAATAACAGGTTTGTCTATTTGTAACGTGTCATATTCTGATTATTTCACAAGAGGGCGCCAAAGACCTTTGCCCCTTTTACTATAAATTCGACTGGAGATGGAACGTGCTCAGTGAGTCCTGTTTCTTCTTATATAAACACACACTAAAGCTAAAATGTGTTCTCACAGTAGCGTCATCCTTGGTGTAGTACTCCGGCATGGGGATGTAGTGGTTCGGAACTTTGGACGGATCAGCTGCTAGCTCCTTAGCGTCCCACATGATGTTGTTCAGGTCCGGAAAGTTGTGATTCAGGTCGATTCTTTCAAAGCTGTAGCGTCCGTCTGCCCAGCCGGCCAGTTCTGAGCCCTGTAACACGTCATTGACACACAGTCCATTACCACTAGCATGGTCAGCCTTGATATTGTTGTTCATTTGAAGTATTTTTCTCTAATTCTTTGCGTTTGTGATGCTAACTTTTAGCCTCTGTATATATATAATATGTATATATAACATAATAGTTTTAAGTTCACATTTGTCAACGTAAGTTAGCCACGAATTATTCTTATCCTAAATAGAAGGCTGAAAGTAAAACTTTAAATTAGCTGAAGACGACTTGAAAATATAAGTATATAAAAGTTAAAATCTGTTCGTAATTGTCAGCCACAGCATTGGTAAAACTAAACGTTTGCCTGAAAGTTTCTAAATGATGAAGCAAAAGCATTTCGGACATGGTTAAGAATTAGCTAAATGTTAGCCAAAACATTACCAAAACGCACTGTGATGAACCAACAATAGTGGTGCTAAAAGCTGCCTTTATAATTATTAACTATTACAAAAATGTTAAAAATGATTTATAATTATTAACTATTACAAAAATGACTAAAGATTTAGCCAAAAAAAGACAGAACAGGAGGAGCAAGAAAATTAATTAATTTCGAGCAAAACTCACCTTTTGATAAGCAAACTCGTAGCCATCAGGATTCATGGAGGGCAGGAGGTGAATCCTTGTCTCGGTCACCAGTCGTACCACGCGCTGGTTACCTTTCTTGTACTCTCTACATAAGTACTGCATAAGGTTAAGGACCAGTTCTCGGCCTACAACCTCGTTCCCGTGCATCCCAGCCACGTAACGGAACTCCGGTTCACCTGGAGAGAAACGCACAATTCCAGAGTCATTCAAACCATTGAACACAATTGTTACTGTGTTTCCTGTTAGTCACCCAGATGAACACCAGGAACTGGAACCTTTGAAAAAAACTTGTGTTGTATTTGGAACAGTAGAGCTGGTGGACAACATGATTCCATTATACAAACATGGACTGTCCAAAGTAAAGATTCTCCAAAAACACAAGGTTCTGCCCTGGAGAGACTTTCCTTCCTGTGGTTGAAATTCCAAAGAACAAACATCCCTCCATCCACTGAGTAAAGAAACACGTGTTTATGGTGAGATGATCCAAACATATATCAGAACATATAAATAAAAAATCATCAACTCAACTGAGATTAGAGCAGCTTCGAAATGAATGTATTCTCCCAGATAGAATAAAGAAAGGGACAAAAAATATATATAATTCTTATTGTTTTTGCAGACAGCAAGGCCAGAAATTCTTGCATCTAAAAATCAAATTCAAAACCGAAATGTGTTTTGTTTTGCAGTAAAACTGCTCTGTCTCTTATTTCATACTGTTATCTGTTTGTTTATAGACGGGAGGCCTCGTCTGGAGGGTTTCTGCCCGTGTGTCCCTGCTGGAGCTGCAGGCAGACCGGGCTGTGTTGTGTAAACACTGGAGGATGATTGACTCGGACCTCAGTTACCTCCACAACTCCAGGTCTTACCGAGTTCATGTTTCCCAGGATTATCTGAGATCTCCATGACGTAGAGTTTGAGGCCCAGGTAGCTCCGGCCGATGGTGTAGATGCGGGTGATAGTTGGACACTCCTCGTTCACGGACTTCATCAGCTTCAGGGTGAAGAAGTTCAAGAGAAAAGCTTTTAAAGGGTTAAATGTGAACTTTGGGGGAAACGTGTGTAAACTGTTGAGGCTGTGAGTGAAATCCTTAACATGGAAAAAACAAAAGTTCCTACTGATGCGTGTGTGTGGCCTCAGCGAGCCTTCATCATCACACAAACCTTCCTCATCTCCTTATAGTTGTGGTGTCTGAAGTCCAGAGAGTCCTGTGGTTCTGGCTGCTGCTCAGAGCCGTACACATGACTTGGATCTGTACAGGAAAATCATAGGAATACAACTTTTATGCCGTAGGATTACAGCTTCATTCCATTCATTCATTCAGGTCCAGAATAAAGGATCTGTCCATCCATCCATCAACCCGTCCATCATTGGTTGAAAGTGTCTGAATGCCTAAATACAAATGTAAATGTAAGGCAAGAGCACTAACCCCGACCCAAGTCAAACCTCCACCAGTGTTTCTGTACGTACCATCAACTCGACAGCCCAGAATCTCAGCCCTCAGGCAGATGGTTCCGTTGGGGTACCAGGTCTGTGGGTTGATGCGGATGAAGCGAGCCACGGTAGGAACAGGAAGGAGACTTAGCACCGGGGTCTCAGAGTTCTGGTTCCCCACAAATACCTGTAAAATGTGATGTGATGTCACACTGGTCAGAGGAAGTTCAGACCTTCGTCTAGAAAACGTAAATGTAAAGAAAGTGTCTGTCCATATATGGTTCATGACTCCTGCTTTACACCGTCTATTACATTTTTCAAATAATCATTGTTGATAACTGCTAATTTGCGGTTTGAGTAGAACATTAGAGCCTAACATTAAGTTAGGCCCTCACTTTTTCCATGGACCAAAATAGAATGTGAATTATTGTCTTGTTGGAATTATATTTTAGCGATGACGTTCAGTGAGTAAGACTGTAGGGGTGAAAATGCTCAGACTTGATCAGACAACAACACCTTAACAAACTCTCACAGTTTTCCTGGGTCTTGACACATATCCATTTTTTTATTCTAGTTTCCTTCCTCTGGTTAAATAATCATCTATTGTTTCTTTTTTACTTTCATTTCATGTCATACAGAAGAATACCGCAGCATTATGCTTACCAGAAACATCAGGTTTTTTCCCCCTGTTTCTTTGCTTTTTTTTCACAGCTCATATTCACTCTCTCCAGAATCTGTTCTCCATTTGTCTAAAACTCACGGGTCGTTACTGCCAGGACTTTTTCTGAATCATAATATAAAAGAAATGGTTCGTACCGCCTCCTCTGTGCCATTCATACAGCTTTTCCAGTCAACAGAGTCGTTGCTCAGCTGAACTTTGTAGGTTTGGACCCAGTCCCAACTGTAGCCAACAGCAGGAGAAAATACACATGGGTTTATAGACTTCAGAGCAGTGGGATCAATGATCAATGAGGGAACGCTCTTTAAACTGTTCTACATCCTAATGTTTAATACAATTCATTGTGTGTCTGATGCCACCTGACCTCCAGATGGAATTCCGACCCTGCAGGATGACCCCGGTGAACAGGGTCATGTGAAGGGCGTCCAGCTCCAGCCACTGATGTCGGTCTTTGTGCCCAGCACACCAGGCGCCGTCGTACAGGTCCCCGTCCTCAATGCCAGACTGAAAAAAAACACAAGAACAATTTTAATCTGTTGGTCACAGAAGCCAATAAATCAGCACATAAAAACTCCTGGCTCTGCTTCAGTGAGAAACCCTTACATAAGACTGTGAGGCTGACCTGATTGTAAAATAATTGTTTTCAGACTTTGGGACAGTGAGGAACCCTAGGCTGACAGTTTGATGAAGCTGCTGAGTCATTGCAAAAAGACCCACAACCAAAACCAATAGCAGCCGATGTGTACAGTATACAACTGAAGGTGGCGCAAGACGGAATTATAACCTCAAAAAGTTAGCTAAAGAAGATACTGTAAAGTTAACAAAAGTAGATCAAATGAAATTATAGTCAACTGACTCAGTAAACACAGAATCAGGAGGTAGCAAAAAAATAACAATACTGTAATTGTAATGACAATTAAAGGGCAACTTCTTGACTCTCTAAAACGCTTAAATGCTTTTAGCCCTTTTTTCTAAAGGGCAAACTTCTTTACTCTCTAAAATGCTTTTAGTCCTTTTTTTCGCCATCTAATGGCAAATGTGAGCATTGCATGGAAAAGGCAGAACTATAATGATAATTTAAATTAATAATATGATTTAGACAACTTTGGCGGGCCGGAAAAAGAAGCCAAATGGACCTCATCCGGCCCCCGGGCCGTAGTTTGCCCATGCCTGGGTTCACATCTTTTAACATTAACTTATACAGTAGTTATACATATGTATAGCATGACATACAAATACATTTTGGCATAGGAGTTACCACTCAAATGACCAGGCTAAAGTGATGTAACTTCCAAACGTTAAATAAATATTTACTCATACAAACTGCACATACTTCATATATACAGTATATGTTACTGGAGTACTGATTAAATAAATGTAGCTCTATATTCAAGTATTACAGTATATTGAACTCTCAGCGCCCCCTCCTGGTAGATTGCTGTCTCCTTATGGGCTGTAAACCGTATATATTCATACTGACTGAGTGAAACAAAGCCAGCTCTGTTTCAGCTTGTCTCAACAACAGTCCAGATGAGGACTGACCTGGATGTTCAGCCTCCCCCTGTGAGGACCCAGACCCGTGCGTTGGTAGGAGGAAGCCTGCAGCTGGCTGTCGTCCACCTTCAGGGACTCCAGTCCCAGAGGAGGGCAGTCTGGGAGGAAGAGGAAAAACAATCAGGAGATAAAAAAATCCTCCGGGAGTAGACATGGGAGGAGCAGGAGGAGGTGGTGTTAATAAACAGGATCTGGTTCTGACTGATACAGAGTTCAACTCTGTCTCTGTTTTCACTGACGGAGCAAAACTAGAGCTAATTCAACATGAGGGTCTGGTGTCGGCTGGTTCTGATCTGCCTGGGTCACTGATGGTGAGTTGGAGGCCTTCTGCTCCTCCAGTTCCTCCTCCACCTTCTCCTCCTTCTGCAGGAAAGTAAACTTGTGCCGGCCGGGTTTCTGTGTAACCTGAGACACAGTTGAGGGGCCTGCAGTGAGGAGCCAGACCTTCAGCAGAGAAAGAATAGCAAAGCTACAGCTGCAGCCAGTTTCCCTCCTCTGGGAACACTGCAGTAACATTCCCATCAATCCTGAACATCCCACTGTGACAGGACAAAACAACTGGGTTGTTTTGGTCTGACATTTTGGATGAAAATGTGTTTTTACAATGCAGTTATTCAGGTGTCTGCACCAACCACAGTCTATCTGCCTGGACTTATTAAAATGATCACATTTATTTCCATTACTGCAGGGGGTAGGATTGTGGAGGAGAGGGGTACATTTATCGAGATTTTAATAATTGTGTCAAAGTGAGGAAACTGTAGGACAGATTATTTGGGTCACAATGAGGAATAAAAAATATATTGAAAAAATTACAAGAATAAAGTTGTAACATTAACTGAAAAACAGTTGTCAGTTAATGAGAAGAAAATCATTCATTTATGAGAATAAGGTCTTAAGATTACAAGAATACAAAACATGGTTTAGGCTGAGTACTTCTCTCTCATCTCCCCCAAAACACATTCTCTAATCATCTTTAATCTTGTGAATTTATGACTTTTTTTTGTCACAAACTCCAACTTTAATCTTGTAAATTTACGATGTTGTCCTCATGAATTGTAAATATCTGTGGGTTTGTGACTGTTTTGTGAACATCCTCCAGGCTTTGTCTGTTTCAGCCTGATGCCTCTGACCTCCACAAAAACATGAAACCTTTGTTCTGGGCGTCTGGCTCTAATTAGGCTGCAGATACAGAACAGCCTGTTCTGTGAAAAGGAAACATAAATCACATCTTTTGTTGGGAATACAGTGAGTGAACATCCATGTTGACAAATGACAATGAAAACATAAATCAGTCTTCTAAGTCTTCAGACTGTTTAGCAAAAACCTGATGTATCACCAATGTCTATGAGCTGGTGTCTGCTCTGCTGCTTTCCCAGGTAACTGACCAACATTTGAAAACAATGAAAAAAAAAATATTAAGGTACTAATTCATATGTTGATTTAAATCAGGCCCCATGACACCAGTTGGTCTCCAACACCAAGAGGTCATGAGGGGAGGGGTGTTTGAGCCCCAGTGGTGAGTAACTGAGCAAAGCATGGGCTGACACAAACAGGGCAAGTCATGAAAGACCCAACACAAACACGAACACACAAACATGGATATGCATCACTCTGTGTGTAAACAATAGATCATTCTAATAAAAATAATTATGGTGTCAAATTAATCCATCTAACTAAAGAATGACTAAGTCTGACAGAAACTCATGTGGAATGTTGTGCTTGGTGTCAGAAACTAAAACAGAACAACTAATCCCATGACTAATAGAACCTTTTGTCCTCTCACCCAGTGGAACTTTCTTATCTGCCGTCTTTCTGTCATCTCCGTCGTCCTCGCTGTCCTTTTCCTCCAGAGGTTTGTCCGTCTGTGTGACACTCGTTGTCTCTGCAGCAGTGGCCTCGGTCGGCCGTTCTCTGCTGCTCTGATCCTCCTCACTGACAGCCTCAGAGAGGTTCACTCTCCTGTGTGTGCCGTTGAAGAACGGATCTGTGTGAGTGGTTGAGTTGTCGGTGAGCTCCACAGCTGCTTCTAAAAATCCCCCCAGAACAAACGCTGCAGCCAACAAGGCCAATGACTTTCCCATTGTTAGCTTCTGTCTGCCAGTGCTGTGCTGCTGGGATAGTGTGGAGGGGAGAAAAGATTCCGCTGCCAGTTGTGTGCAGATGACAAGGCCGGACCTACATGTACCACGTCCCTCCTCCCACTCAATCCCACCTCCCCTGCTTATTCAGCCTCCCACACTCTCACTCTCCTAATTCTAGTTAATTTCCTGGGGATTTCCTGATAATTCCGTTTATAAGTATAACCAGAGGTGAAAAAGGCACTAACAGATGTAATTAAGTAAAAGTATCTTCACTTTGCTTAAATTCTACTCAAATAAAAGTAAAACTACCCATCTAAAAATCTACTCGATTAAAAGTGAAAAAAATACTTAATTTGAAATTTACTTTGAGTAAAAGTTGCTTAGTCACTTTAAATTACTTACTCACACATACAATCTGCAACTAGTTGTTTTTAATCAACCAGTCAAATACAATTTGCAGAAGTCGAGGATTCTATGATGCATTTGAACACTTGTACTGCAAATTCAAGCCACTAAAGCACACTGAAGTTCCAACAGCTCTGTCCACCAGGCCAGGCACGATCTGCATGATAAAGTTGATGCCTCGTTTTCATTTGAAAACAACGAGCTGGCTGAGATATGGCCCAGGATTTCCGTCTGCTCCACAGGAGCTCTCTGCTTGGCAATCCTCAGCCTCCATCATCCAACAACAGGCTAGAGTCTGTCTCTTACTCAACGTTCTCTCACTACATTAAAATAGTGGGAAGTCCACGGGTGCCCATGCAATTTTTTCAGTAAATGCAGATTACATTTCCCCACATTTACGTTTTTACACAGTAACAGATTTTTTTTCCCAGTGTAGTAAAGTAAAATACTTCAGCCAAAATGCACTTCAGTAAAAGTAAAATCACTTCTTCCTGAAACTACTCCAACAATTACAAATTACTCACAAAACTACTCAACTACAGTAACATGAGTAGACTACAGCTAAAGTTATAATAAATGTAAACAACAATCAGCCATGTTTATAAGAGTAACAGTCTGAATGTATCTGACCTTGTAATTTTCACTGGACAAAATCAAAACAAGTGTGAGTAAAGTTTAGTTTCTGTCTTGTCTCTAAAGGAAGAGAAGAGAGAAAAGATGGAAAAGGCAAAGATAAGTTAATAGTTATTTTTGCCAAGTGCTTGGAAAATAAATATAGAAAAATACAAGAATAGCAAAAACAGCTGAGTTAAAAATAAAATAATAAGAAGAAGTTTGCTAAAATAGTTATTAGTTAATAGCGTTCCATCATCTAAAAGAAGACAATAAAGAGAAGTAGAAAAAGAAAAAGTGTGGCAATAATAGGGCATAATGCTCAAAAGATAACAAAAATGTTGCCAAAACAAATAAAATTAAGCTGAGAGATAATACATTAAGCCATTCTGCAAATGTTTTACAGGAACCAAATCCAGGTAATACGGCGATTTACAATGTGGGGATTTGTGCGCTCTCTGGTGGCTAACAGTGTCAAAACGAGGCGTTTATTTTTCAAGCGAAAATGAAACAAATATTGGGTGAGAGAAAACAATTTCCCATTTAATCGCGTAATTAAACTATTTGAAAAATAGATAATGCATAAGAACATTTAAAAAATCGTGTGTGTTTTAAAACACATTTTATTTATTTTTCCTGTTTTGTAACTGAATATATACTAACTAGACCATCGATTTGGCATCCCCACTGAAATACCCAATATGTACAGTATAGTTTTTTTTTGTCATTTAGAATATTACGAAAAAGCAACGCAAAATAAAACAAAACACATTTACAGTAATTAGAAAAAACTGCAGAATTTTATATTACTCATATTGTACATGTTAGGTACATAATGACATTACTTGAATAGTCTTTTTTATGTTATTGTCTAAAATTTAAATACTGTATATATAACATTAAAATCTGCATAACCTTTCCGCCTTTTATTTTGAAACCTAAATCTCCTGAACCTGGTTGGTTCCCGATTATATGACGTATACACGGAAAATGGCCACGCAGACGAGAGGAATCACAACATTCAAATTCAGTTCTCTGTTTCTGTGCTCTTATGATGTCATGTATTAGATTAGATTCATTTTTCTGTTGACAGAGAGTGCGAGCTGTATTTTGGAAGCGGGCTATTGCGAAACACCGTCATTATTTTGCCGAAAGTACGTAAAAAAAACATGTTACTGATCAGTAAAGAAGCTATCCGGCAGCTACTACGCTAGTTAGCAAACGGCTGAGGTGGCTGTCAGTGAGTGGAGTAAGTATCAAGCTACGAAACATTCATTTTAATGCGTGTGTTTATTAATGTAATCATATGCTTGTTGACATTCTATTGTTTTGAATAGTTGTTCATGCAAATACTACATTAAAAAACATGAAGCAGACTGGGTGCAATCTTGGACGTACACTAATCTGACTTGGAGATAAAAAAAAATCAGATTTGGGCGCAATTTATGTGACGTAGGACGTAGATGTAGTATTGAGTAGAGCTGTGAGAGCCCTTGATGTGCGGTGTTAAATATATACTTCGACTTTCACTTCTTTTTAAAAAAGCAGCAACACTGCACGTCTTTGTCTTCAAGTGCTTTGCATGTTCACTGCGCTCCTGTCACAACACTGAATTGAGGCTTTTGTGTTTTTCGGATGACAAGAAAAAGACTCTGCTAGGAAGATGTGTCATATAAGTTCATCCAGCAGCACATGACATCAAATCAGCTGGTCTGAATCAAGATGCCTCGTCTGGAAGAATTGGCCAATGTTGCCCTCAGGGTGCCGAGCATCCTGGTGTTGGACCTGCTGTACAAATGTGATATCGAAGGACTGACGGAACATCTAAGGGCCAAGAATGAAGACATGCTGTTCAAATACAAATATGTCATCTGGAACATGTACTACCTAGGTGGGTGAAAAGAACGCTGTAATTTTAAATTGAAATATTGGTGTAAAAGTAGACTGGATCTTTCTGACAAAGGGACTTGGCTCTGCTTTGACCTAGTTTGCATTATTTATTATTTGACTTCTGTCTTGATTTAACACGTTACAATGTGTGGATGTTGTTCTTTATTCTTCCAGGTCATTTCATAAATTTAGTGGTGTTGGTTCTTCCACTGAGGCACATCGTGACGCTCTACCTCCACATCCTCGTTGCCCTGCTTATGTACATGGGGCATCAGATTTCCAAGTAAGATGTCCTGCTAAAGTTACAACTTCTACACATTCGCCTTTGATTGTAGTAGCATCGAGTTTCTGCCTGTCGACTTTTCAACAAATTCATTTTGCAACTTGAGAAATTGAATTAAAAGGTTTAAAGTTTATACTCTCTGCCTGATTTGCAGGGATTATGTCCGGGAAGAGTTGCAGTACGGATATGAAGGAGCAGTGTATCTTGATTCTTTGGCCTTCAACAGATTTGTCTCTGCCATGACAAGTGAGTCCCAAAGCACGAGTGTGTAAAAATCAAGGCACTTGGCCTGCCATGACAAGTGAGTCCCAAAGCACAAGTGTGTGAAAATCAAGGCACCTCATTTATATTCACATTTTAATTTTTTCTGTTTTACTAAAAAAAACCATGGATTTCTTAAGATAATTTTAATTTTTTATTTTTTTCTGTTTTACTAAAACATGAATTTCTTAACACATACAGTATCAGTATATTTTAAATAGAAGAATTCTGAGGGTTCATCTAAAATTTATTTAATTTTTAAAAGGGTGTTTAAATTGGTCGAGGTTAAAGGTCAACAGGGCATTACAACTGCTGTGCTTTCATTTGCTGCTCAGGTCAGATTATTCTCAGCACACTCTGTGCCTTCCTGATGAAGACCAGAAAGGTGTGGCTCTTCTCAGCTCACATGCTCCCCCTGCTGGCTAGAGTCTTAGCTGATCCTCACACCACACTACTGACTGTCAGCACATTCTCCATGGGACTGACTGGAGCTGGCTTCGTTGTGTTCCTCCTCTCCAATCTCTTTGTGCCATATCGTCTTGCTAAGGCTGCATACTCCGAGCTGCTACAGGTAGAGGTACCTTTTATTGAGAAATTTCTGTGCCACCATGATCTAAAACATGATCCTTTTCCTTATTGTGTCCGTGGTTTCCTGTTTCTCAGGTGATTGAACTTTACCGTGTCCTGGCAGTGGGAATCTCTCTGTGGAACATGTTTGCGGTCCCCGTGCTCTTCAGTGTCTTCTGGTTTGTTCTATTCATTTTCCAGTTTTGCTCCAACATCATGTCCAGCAGCGTCGCCTCAGCATCTCATCAGGGCATCATGTTCTTCCTGCTTACAAGGTATGATGTCTTCATGGTGTTGATATGGTGATTATAATTCCTTGGTCCAGAATTAATTGAATGAGCGGCTGTGTTTTACAGTGTGTCTGAATGCTGTGCCACACCATACTCTCTCCTGGGTCTGACCTTTGTGGTGTCATATTTGGCTCTTGGCCTGCTCAACTTGTGCAAGTTCTACCTGGGAGGTTATGCAGCAGTTCAGAATGAGAACGTTATGCACAGGTGAGGTGTTTTTTAATGTTATTCCAACTCTGTCAGTGCAACAGTTTTTTTTAGACATAGTTTTGACAAAAGTGAATTGTTTAATTGCCCTCTTGTCCTCAGAGGTGTGACTGAAGGAGTCACTCTGCTCCTCCTGGCTCTCCAGACTGGTCTGTTGGACATGCAAGCACTGCAGCGAACCTTCCTCCTCAGCATCATCCTCTTCATCGTTGTGACTTCAACCCTGCAGTCGATGGTTGAAATCACAGATCCAATCATTCTGGCTTTAGGTGCATCACGCAACAGGTATCAGTAATCAGAAGAATGTTGATTTAATGACATAAATCGGAGAGGAGTGGAACCTTTAGAATATGTTTTTTTTACAATCTTTTATTTTTCGGTACTTGTAGGAGCTTGTGGAAACATTTCCGTGGCCTCAGCATGTGTCTGCTGCTGCTGTTCTTTCCAGTCTTTATGGCTTATAAAATCTCCCAATTCTTCCACATGGACTTCTGGCTCCTTATACTGGTGTCGAGCTGCATGTTGACGTCTCTTCAGGTAGGACTTTAGAGGACTGACTGTGCTTGTCTACTATGCCTCCCTTTAACTTAATACATGTGTATACCTTCCAGGTTACGGGCACTTTGCTGATCTATGCTCTCTTCATGGTGGAGCTGTTTCGCAGTGACCCAATCGAGAGCCTGGATGAGGTGATCTACTGGGTGAACGCCATCAGCCGGGTGCTGGAGTTTGTGGTGGCACTTTGCGTTGTGGCCTATGGCACCTGGGAGTCACTGTTTGGAGAGTGGAGCTGGATGGGTGCCTCAGTAATTATCATTCATTCATACTTTAACGTGTGGCTCAGAGGGCAGTCTGGCTGGAAGAGCTTCCTGCTCAGACAGGAAGCAGCTAAGAAGATCAACTCCCTGCCCAGAGCGACACCACAGCAGCTGCAGCAGTACAACGACGTCTGCTCCATCTGCTTCCAGGTCAGTCACACTCTGGGATTTATGTTGTTGTGGTTTAAATCCACTCTTTACCTTGTACCACGGTCAACTCTATTACACAGTTGAGGCATATGTTTAAATTTACTTTATACGCTTGTTTTGTAACACCAAAGCACCTAAACCTTCAAATACCAGCTCACCTCCTGGCATTTGTTTGTGGACACTTCAGCTATAGGTCAAAAACTGCTTGTGTCAGATCAGCCTCACTGACTGTAGGCCAGTGAGTCGTTTACAGCTGACAAGCAGAAAGACACAAACTATAGACTAATGAACTGATATTTGGTTATCATATTTAGGGATGTGCTTTATCTCTTAAATGTGAATCTGGATTCCTTTTAATTATGGTTAATTGTGACTAATCCACTGCTAAGTTGGCAAAACATCACAAGAGAAAGAGACTGTCGTTCAACTGGTTGAACTAGGACACTAGGACAGTGAAATGAAACGATTCAGTTTTTTTTTTTATTAATGACGAGATATTTTGCCAGTAAACAAATTCAGGAAAGAATATAATGAAATACTGTATTTACCATGGATTGTGATAGACCTGCATGATTGAGAAACAAGGTCTAAAAAAGGAAGTGTTGATTTCACAGGAAGACTTGTAAATGTCAGGATAGACTATATCAGGACATAAGGCAGCCTTACAAGGCACCTGGCACAAACACACGCACAGGACTGTGTATATGAAACGCACAGCTTTGTCTCTTCTAGTTTTTCCAGTTAGGCTCCGCCTCTTTGCGTTCTGTTCAGGCATGAACTCCTGGCCCACAGCCACTGTTTGTTTTTTCCTGACTTTTAAGTGAGTGTATATCCTCATTGCCTGACCTTGATAATGAGTTTTCTTTCAAAGACATCACTATAGAAATACTTTGAATGTAGGAGGACATTTAGAGAGAAAACAATATTCGAGGTGAAGTTTCCTGGTTTAAGAGCCTTTTTATGTGCTGTATTTTATGATTAGACTGAGATAAGACTGAGGTGGAAACTCAAGTTGGAACAGGCTGAGAGCAAAGAAAACAAAGTAAAGAAACTATTTGGGGAACTGAAACAAGCACTATGCAAATATGCATGCCACTGTTATGTTTTGATTATATACCTTACCTATGAAACATGTCAAATATAGAGATAAGTAAAACATAATAAAATATAAGGTTGAATTATCTTGTCAATGTCATGTTTTGGTCAAATCATATTCACTACAGTTAAACTAAGTCACATTCCTGTTCTTTTGTAGTGCAAGTCACACTGTAAATATTTAAAAATGTACTGTCTGGATGTTTATTTAGTTGTTTTCTGATTGAGTGGATTAGATATGTTAGAGTTAAGGGTTGAACCAAATCCAAAACCATAAATTTGGTTTTCAAAAATCTTTCTTTCCACAGGAAATGAGCTCTGCTGTGATCACACACTGCAGACATTTCTTCCACAGCAACTGCCTCCGCAAGTGGCTGTACGTGCAGGAGACCTGTCCCATGTGCCACCAGAAGGTCCAACCGAACCGTACAGGAGCAGAGGGAGACCCAGAAACAGATGCAATTGCAGGTGAAGACAATCAGAACAACAACGGCACACCCGAAGAACCACTTAGTAATGAAGTAACACCTGATGACACTGAGCAGCAGGAGGAAGGTGAGAGGGAAACCACTGAGGATGGAGCTGATGGCAAAGAGGACGACCGCCAACCTGCCGAACCTGACCGAAAAGCTGCTCAGGGTCTTCGATTCAGCTCCAATGGAGACTTTGTTGGATTTGTTAACTCCACTTCTGAGGAGGGTCGAGACGAGCTTTCTTGTTTCTCGAAAGCTTCTCAAAACAACGTGTTTGAAGAGGGCAGTAAAGAATTACCACCACCACTGCCTTCAGAGGAGACACCGGAAGACCATTGTGACTGTGAAGATCCAAGACCAGAGGACAGTGTCAGAGTGGAGCCATTTAACATGGCTAAAAATGACACCAGCTGTGATTGCACTGAACAGTCCTGCAGTGGCCTATGTTCAACTGAATTAAACAACGGTGACAACCGAACAGAAGGCTGCCTCACATAGAACCAACACGACTGAAAGCCAAAAAAAAAAAAAGAAGAAGAATCACAAGCGTTTAACCTCAATGTGAAAATGGATGTGATCTGAGAGGTTGAAATTGTCCCGGTGTCTTCAGTGGACCACTCTCAGCCCTGTGCACAAACAGACAGAAAAGACTGCTCTACGTCAGTGCCTTGACAGGTTTAGAGAAATGATTAACTCTAAATGAATTTGTAATTTTTCTAGACAATGAAAAGAATGTGCTCCAGCCAATACTGTGCATTCTGGATTGGAAATCATATCTTTATTGTACAATTGTAAAATGTGTGTATATTAATATAATTATTATAAGTAATGTATAAATATAGTGTTTGTTTAATTTGGACAGGTGACACTTGTTACAGATGTTATTTTTTATTGATTATTGTTTATTTTGTTCCTGTCTTCGGGGAAGGGTTTTATATACAGATACACATTTTCTGTGGAGAAAGTGGTAAAAACTGGCTCTTCGTGTGATTAACATCTGATTCAGACTCCAATTGTGCAAATGTTGCATCTCTTAGTATTAAAAATACTGCTGTGAACTTAATTGTAGTCTCTCTAAATTAATAAAATCAGGACTGGTCAACATTGGGGACTACCCATAGCCAATGGCTGCCATATATATTTTTGATAGTATTATTCAGTATCAGTCAGCTGGTTCCAGGAAGTTATGAGTTAAAACGCCACTTGTTAAAAGTCTGCGTCCATTGGTATTGATTAAAATATTTTCTTTTATCAGTATCCAACAAATGATCCAGTCAAAGGCCAGAACTGGGTAATAGAGAGATCTTACCAGTCAATGATTAATAGATATTAGGACTGATACATGTTCAGGTGATGGAGAGGATTTAATGTGTTTTATAGGTCCTCACAGTACTGCATCGTTGCAAGGTGAGAAAAACGACCAGGAAAGGGTTAATGACTAAAATATTTTATTTCCATAGGGTTAAATGTTAGAAATTTGATTTGATTTTTTATATACACAAATATATATATACACACATGCTGGTAAGAAGCTGGAAATTCTAAAATGTATAAAACACTAATGATAATTTTCTGCGATCAATATTTATCATTAGAAATACAGTAAAACGTACCTGGAAATGTAATATAATTTTTTAGTGTTTAGCCCTATTTCTGGCATTTTTATTAATCCTGCAGTACTGTAAAAAGTTAAGATATAACCTAAAAATGAATCCTCTCAGTCACCTAACCTTAATTTTTGTGTACTTCATATTTCCGGCCAAAATCCAGTACATTTTAATTTTACTCCAGTCAGTGTTGAGTCATTTACAAACAAATTTTCCACAGGCTTGCAACCAATCTGCCATCACATCCGCCTACATCGTCACAGCGCCGCCTTCAGCATAAAAAGCCTCACGTCCGTGTAGAACAAGAATAGTTGGTAACCACACCGATAGAGAAACCGTGAGCCGTTAGCTTAGCCTGGTTCTGGCGTTTTCCGCCCAAACTTCCTGAAATACAGCATAAAACTCACATTCAACATAGTGACGGGTCACAAGACATAGAACGGAAAGCGGGTTCTGAAGCGAAGACACCGGTTTTGTCCCAAACTCGGCGCCGACGTAGTTTTAGCTCGAGGCTAACTACGCTAACGGAGTAGAAGAAAAGGGCCGTCAGCACGGAGTTGACCTCGGTCTGATATTTTTCTTCAACGGGTAGCGTCTCTTCATTCTGGCATATTTTGGGTTTCCTTAATCGGGACACGTTTAATTGAACCACACGACATCACAGAGAACGGAATGGCACTAAAAAGGATTCACAAGGTAAGTAAGATGAATTTTAAAAGGCATCGTCGTGAGAGCCTTAGCGCGCAGCGTTAGCCACCCACACTTTTAGCACGGTTAGCATTGTGCTGTAATATACTGTGTGAAAACATGGCGCTGAAACCTGTTCAGTCAAATGTGTGCGTGTGACAGTTTATAACCAGCACCAGGTTGTGTAAACAGGTGTCGCGTTGTTCACGTTTGCCAGATACCACTTTTAATTTCGGTTTCTCGGTGTAGTTGAGATTTACGAATAGATGGGAAAGACTGTAGAAGCACTGACTTTTCTTAAAGTATTTGGTAAATTATACAGTAATTTGTCTTCACTTTTAGAATTTTGACGTTTTATATGTATATGAATTCTTGATGTCAGAAGTCACAGTTCAAGCCTTGTTAAAAACGGATACTTTCAGTTTTTATGTCTAAATTTCCTCAAATATTTGACTGGGCAGAAACAAACTACATTTTGTATATATTTTTGATATGCTTAGTTTCCAGTTACAGTTGGTAAATAAAGAAGGAAGTAATTAGTTTGATCCGTTCTAATAAGTGTGACCTTTGGGAGTAAAATCTGACAAGTCATAGAACTGTTTGATTCTTTGGCAACTGTTTGATCAGAAAACAGCAGCAAAGTTCTGCTTAAGGTTAAGTTTGAAGATGGTCTCCAAATTCTGATTTTTTTTTTAGAATTAAAACTTGTGAGTTAAGGTGGACTATTTAAAAAAAGATATCCCTTTGATCCAAATCTACTCCTCAAGAGAGTGTGACATTAATTTTTCCACACTTTTTTTGTTTTTACTGCCCATCACCTCTCAGCTGTCAGTAGTCTGACTCCCAGTGACGAAACAGAGCTGTTGCACAACTCCTTTTGCATAAATTAATGTCTGAAGTTGCCACCTAGACTTTTGTAAGAGAGGATTTAATGAAGTGTCCCCAATTGACATGTTTTTACACAAAACATGGGTTGAGTTCATTTTCAGGGGAGCAAAGATTACCTACCGATCTTTTCAACTGATTTATGATAGTTTCCTTCATTGCCTGAAATGTCACTAATTGCGTTCTTGTGTAATGACAATTAAACAGTGATACAGCGATAGGAGAAAAAGCTCAATACAAAGCATTCTGACTATTGACAGACACATGACATACTTGTTGTATTTTAAATTCCGATATTTCAATGTTTTCTCATTTCAAAATGTAGCTAGATGCTGTCTGGAGTCCTGTCAAACAGACTTGTCTCATTAGTGTTTTAGGTCAGTGTTTTGTTGTAATGCTCACGTCCTCATTTGAAAATAATTTGTTCCACAGAAAGAGAGTAGTTAGTGTCAGTATAAGGTGGTTAGTACAGGTGTAAAAAGTCAAACAGGTGTTTGTTCTCAAATATTTTCTAAAGTTTTCAGTTGTTAAATACTTGACATGCAATCTTGCGAATACCCATGAGTCATGGGACTCTTTAAATCAGTGTACGCCATCACATCTGTGTTTCATGATGCATTTCCCTGGTATGTGGCTGTAACCTATCTGTTCTGAACACATCACAGGGTGTGTGTGCTCTGAGTTTGGCAGTAGACTCGGGAACCATGAAAGCGCTTTAAGAGTTGATGTTTCTTCACTCGACTGTTTACTAGAACCTTCCTCTGAGGAAGTGGCAGGTTTACTTGTAAAAGAAGGTCAGGGTGGGGCAGCAGCTTCTACCTCACTCTCTCTAAAATAGCAGTAGACCTAAAAATAACAGCATCAGTGTGTGTGTGTGTGTGTGTGTGTGTGTGTGTGGGTACACCCAGGTTTCGTCTTGCTTTAACTGTAGAGAGAAGATAGTCCATGGCTGCTCCCTCACTGTAGACGGGGTGCAGACAAGTTTGGTTGTGAGGGTGGGAGATAACGACGGCAGCATCAACGTGGGGGGAGGTGATTGTGAAATAAAGGAAGTATACGACCTGTCACGTGGCATTTTTTTGTTTTGTTTTTTTCAGCCTGCTGGTTATTAGTCCTAGAATTAATACTTGTCTAACATACTAGTTCACTAAACATCTTTTCATTACAGGAACTTAATGATCTGTCCCGTGACCCTCCATCACAGTGCTCAGCCGGCCCAGTCGGTGATGACAGTAAGTGTCCCAGACATATCATTGAAGTTTGTCTGCTCGCTGCTCAGTTTATCATATGAATCCAGAGAATTCTTCATACACGACTATGAGAAGCAGCTCTTTAGTTTCCAGCTCATTCTGCAGGTTATTCCCATCAGAGATGACTTTTTTTGACAGTAGTGGCTGGGTTGTAAAGGAAATGGACTTGGATGTGAAAGGTTCAGTGGTATGCTGTGTCACAATGACAAGTAGTTCACTTTCCACTGTTTAAAGACCCCCCAATCACCTCCGTTATGATAAGGTCAGGCAGCAATTCCAAATAAATGTCATTTTCTCTTTACTGGTAATTAACACATCAAAGACTCTAATAGGCTGCAGTTTGTCAGAATGATCACAACATAATAAAAATGGTATGTCAAGTGACCCACCTGTTGTGTAATAATGTATTGCCTCTTCTTGATATTGACTGACAAACACTTTGGTTTGTCCATGTCATGTTGTAATAGTTCGTAGGCTAAAGTCACTGTCCTCTGTTTTTGAACACATGTACAGAAGTGACCACAAATGACTTGAGTTCCTTTTTACAGGTTAAAATAATTTCACTCTTATATATTTATATAAACAATCTTTATGATATTTGTTAAATATAATCTATAACCCTGGTCTAATACCAGTCTAGACCCAAGTTCACAGGCACCAATGTCAAGTTCATCTCTCTAGGAGGCCACATATTTTACAAGCTTGGATTCCAGTCAGTTCACATACCGGCAACATGTTTTTCACAGACGTTTGTTTTCTCTTCTCTACAGTGTTTCACTGGCAGGCCACCATCATGGGCCCTGTAAGTGTGGATTTTATATTTAATGAATGTGTTTAAACTGAAATGACATTAAATTACCAGCGTTTGACTTTTAGATTGCTGTTAATTTCATCTTGTTTTTCTTCAGAATGACAGTCCATATCAGGGAGGTGTTTTCTTTTTGACTATTCATTTTCCAACAGACTATCCCTTCAAACCTCCCAAGGTCAGACACAAGTGTAAAACATTGATTACATATAACACTGTCTCCAAATATTAGAACAATTCAAAGTGACCTCTGTCTTACTTTCACAGGTGGCGTTCACAACAAAAATTTACCATCCAAACATTAACAGTAACGGCAGTATCTGTTTGGACATTCTCAGATCTCAGTGGTCTCCAGCACTTACTATTTCTAAAGGTAGGGATGATTGAAAGACACATAGGTTTGCTTAAATACTGGAGTTATTACTGTTATTGTTAAAGCTTAAATTTAAAATACATGAACTTGTAAAAATGTTACTGTGGCTGCTCATGTGGACTGGCAGCTTTCTTTGTCATTAATTTAAACAAAACACTTATCCTTTATATCTATATGTTGACGTAATTGTTTATAACTGTTAGTTATACATATGTTTTTGGTTTATTTAATATCGTGATTTAAGATTATTTATTTTTTAAATGTGTGAGGGATGTTTTTGGCCATATTGCTTCTGTGTTATCTAATGTTTCATTGATCTGAGGAATACTTCACAAATTCTGGTTAAGAGATGTTTTGTCATATGGATTTGTTAAAAAAAAAAAGAAAATTGTAGAATGTAAATTTAATTGTTTTTTTTTTTTTTCTTCCCTCATCTCAGTTCTACTCTCCATTTGCTCACTCTTATGTGACCCAAACCCCGACGACCCACTAGTGCCAGAGATTGCACGAATCTACAAAACAGATGGTCAGAAGTAAGTGTTATCTGTGTGAGGCTGTCGTCCCAGCAGCTCCTAGAATAGAGAAGTCATGATGTACATGTTTTTCTGCTTCCTTGTTTTGAATGAGAACATTCTAGTTCAGGATAATTGGGTTGTGCAACAGTCATCAAGTGCAGTATGTGACCTGGTTTCACTCTGTCAGGTACAATAAACTAGCTCAGGAGTGGACGGCAAAGTATGCCATGCTTTAGGGTAAGCCCAGGAGTCTCTGCTGCATCTTGGCAGGTGTGATGGGAGTGGCTGTTTGATTTTTGTTGTTGTCGTTGTTGTCATGGGCCGTCATGCTTCTGTCACTCATGTCACCAGAGTCTTAAAATCTCTGACAGACCAATAACCACATCTCTGAACTGTGCAGGTCATAGTTGAAGACATGGAGATGTACTGATACGTTTCCTTGCAGTTCCAAACATCTGAGTATTTTTACTGATAGCTAGTTGCTCTTTGGGCCCAGGTTTGTAATGCTGATATATGAAATTTGTGAAACTTTGAGAGCCATAGAAACAACTTGTCAAAATAAACTTCTTGAAAGAATAATTTAAGTAAAAGTTTGTTGAAAACCTAAAACTTTTGTTTCCCTTCTTAAACTAAACTTTTTTATATTAAATCATAGGAAAATATGGAAACCATACCCATGGTTCCCTTTTATTTCCCTCTATATTGCTAGAAAAATGAAATTTAGTGCAGCACTACCTGTGGCTATAAATGTAAATGCAACTTGTAACAATGTAACACATCTCAGTAACTGTCACCAGAGAAAAGGAGGAAATGACTCCATACTGGAATATTCCAGGTTAATGTTTTTTCTCTGTTGTTGCGACTGTTCAGTTTAAAATATTTGACCAGAGTTAACAGATGCATGTCAGATCAGCTACTACATCCAGCATGAAGACATTGAAAAACTGCTGTGTAAAGACTGTGCAACAGTGGGTTCTTTCCTTCACTAATCAGATGTGTTTTTGTTATTCATTTTTGTTTTAACCTTGACTGTATTATGATGATATTGAATGATAATTTTAAAGCAACATTCTTCGGTGCATGGTTGACAATTATTTCTGATAAATTCAACTGGTAAAAATGACCTGGATGACCTAGTCATTACTCATAAACCTGATTGACAGTTGTTTTAATGTTAATTTCTACATTTTCTCTCCCTGTCTCTGCAGATACACCAAAACAGCAAAAGAATGGACAATAAAATACGCAATGTGATGTAATTGTTTTGGGGGGAGGACTGGTAGATGTCGCTGATAACAACTTAAACTCCAGGATTTTTTTTCCCTGCTTTTTTTTTGTTTGTTTGTTTTTGTTTTTTTTGTTAATCAGATAATTTTATCCTTTCTGCCTCTTGATTTTTTTTTATTTTTTTTTTCTTCTCTCCACCTACGTGCTCATAAGAAGATGGTGTAGGACACTCACTTTGTTCCTGTCACTTTTGAAAAGACAAATCATCATGGTTCTGAGCACTTGATCTGAGCATGTACCACTTGAGAATATGTTTTTCAGTCCAGGTTTAGGTCATTGTTGGTCCATTACCTCTACACACACTTGGTAGAATTTGATTCCTCTGAGTCTCCTGAACAGAACTTTAGTATGTGATATTGCAGGCTGGCTCAGCTCGATTCATTGGATACTAGTTTTGGTAAATTCTGCCTTTAAAAGTTTCCGATTAACAAGAATCAGCCTGAACGCAGTATAATCTGGAAACCCTTTAAACAGGTTTGGGGGGTTGGATTCTCTCCTGAACTGCAGTGATGTCACATTTTCTTCTGATCTTATTCTGCTCTTAAAGTGTGTGTACAGGAAAGCACAATGGTATCTATGTTGAGGAAAGCAAAATATAAATAAGTTTAATGTTGTATTTTATGCATGTTTAATAAAGGTAGGCTGTTTGTCTGTTTCTGACATGTCACGTGGCCTGTGAGGCTGAGCAGGTGAAGAAGTTTTTGTTGCCCTCAGAGTCTTTTTGGTTTCTCTGGTTTTTAGACGTCACTAGAAAGGCCCATCATTTTATGCCCACTTGAACACTGTCTTCTTGTAGCCCTGACATTGACGCAAAAGCTCTAATGGTTGATACTCAACTTGTGGCCCTGTTTACTTTGAGTTTTCCCTTCAATAAAGTTACTTAAACTATAAATGTTTGTCTTCTTGTGTGCTTTATCTATTTGTCCCTTTTACCTGATGGTTTTATAAAACTTAGTTTTTCTGTTTGTTAAAAAAATGATTTGTTTTAAGATACAGTTTAAATGGTCACATTAAATATTTTCATTCCTTCTTAAAGTCTACTAAAGACATTTAAAGCAAGGTAAAGTTTTGCGTTTGCCGCTTTACACTAGTTGCTGTCGCCCTCTTGTGGTCATCTATTTCTCCTGCAGGCTGGGCTTTTAGGGGGCTCGAAAGTGGCGTTTAAATCGCTGTAGCTCTAGACACGTGACTTGTGAATCACATGATAAGTAAAAGAGGAAGTGCGTTCAGTTCACTCACACGGGAAGGTCGACCTCTTGATTCTGTCTCTGGATGATCGTTAGGTCTCATCATGATCACACCGAACCGTGAATCATGACTCGGTGTAGAATCGTCTCCGTGGTTTTTACGCTGTGGTGTTTGTGTGACTCGGTTTTCGGCGGCTCTTTACTTCAGCACACCTCAGTCAGTCTGGACGGTAAATGGATCGTATCGAACTCTAACGGTTCACTGACTTTCACCGCTGAAGTTCCCGGCTGTGTTCACACTGACCTGTACAGACACGGGCTCATACAGGTAGAGTCGCCATCACTACCGGAATGAACTGGATTGGATGTCTGATGGAAAACTGCATTTTATTTCTCTGGCTTCAGACCACAGATGACTTTTAAATCCACCTGTCTTTGTTCAAAACGCTGTAACACCAACACGACTCGAAATTTAAGTTTATAAAAAATCAGTGCACTGTCAAATATTTAAGGGGTTGAGGTCTCCCCGTGTGTGTCGCTCTTCTCCCTCCTACAGTTCCAAACATGCAGCGTTAGTGATAATGACTGTAGGTGTGAATCTTAGTGTGAATAGTTGTTGTGTCTCTATATATGATATTGTGCAGTATTTCCTGTACTAATACCAGTGTTTTCCAAATGATCTGTTGTGACACACATCTGATGCTGACGTCTGAAAAGAGAAAATATTGTAGTATAAGTGTGTTGTCTGTGTACTCCTCAGGATCCATACTTCAGGTTCAATGATTTGTCTCATGGGTGGATTTCTCTGGACAACTGGACGTACACAACAACCCTCAGCGTGACGTCAGAGTTCAGGTCAGCGTGATGATGTTTGTCCTTCTGTCTAAAGCATTGTTCCACTCCTGGTCCTGGTTCTGATCTGTGGCCGATTTGAACAGAACCAAGCAGGAAGTCCTCCTGGTCTTTGACGGCGTGGACACCGTCTCATCGGTTTGGCTCAATGGGGTCAATGTGGGCGACACGGACAACATGTTTCGCAGATATGTACGTTCACTGAGCAAACAGCTAACACGTTAGCCTAACAAACAGGGTTGTTTTTTAGTACAATGTGCTCTTTTTGCAGGGTTTTTCTGTCAAAGACCATCTGAAGGATGGAGACAATGTCCTGAAAGTCAGTTTCCTGTCTCCTGTCCTTTACGCTGCTGAGCGCAGGAGACATTCTTCCTACAGAGTTCCTCCTGAATGTCCTCCAGATGTTCAGAAGGGAGTTTGTCACGTGAACTTCATCAGGAAAGTAAGTCCATCTGTAAAGGAGCTCATCTTTGAGACAGGATTCTGAAGCTGAATAATCATGGCTAAACGTTCCTGAATATGAAGAATGATATGGTTCTTACTTTGGTTCTTTTGTAAGAACAGAGGGCGCTGTTGTACTTAACTGTACAACAGCGCCCTCTGTAGCAATTTGTTTCTGTTTCTCTTTAAAACAAACAAAGATTCTGTAACATATGAAGTGCATCATAGCTTGGGGGATTTTTTTTTCTTTTACAAGTTTTCTCTTTGAGTTGAATTAAACATCCCGTCTGTGTTGTTCCAGGCTCAGTGCTCCTTCAGCTGGGACTGGGGGCCTTCGTTTCCCACCATGGGGCTGTGGAAAGAGGTCCGACTGGAGGCCTTCGATGTCCTGCAGCTCCTCCAGGTTTCAGCTGTGCCTTCATACAGTAGGTTCATTACTACAGTCAGAGACGTCAAGCCGTTGCCAGGCAAAGTTGGGACAAAATATAGTGAATTAAGAAGAGACTCTTAGATCTTAAGTTGTTTTAAAACGTTTAGTGAAAAAAGAGAACTAAGAAAATTGAAACCATGAATAATCTTCATCATCATCATGTCTTTGTGTTGTGTTTTTAAAATAATCAAATTCATTCATTCACCTAAAGTTGATGTCTTTCCGGACATTGAATCTTTCTAATAGATAAACAGCAGAGCTTCAGTGATATTTCTGCCTCTCTGTGATTGGTTCCTCCTCAGATTCCAGTCTCTCTCAGTGGAGCGTTCAGGTGGAGCTCTTTGTCGACGCAGTTCAGTTAACAAATTGTCAAATTACGGTCTCGGTGCCGGAGCTGGACTCGGAGCAGACATTTCACACACAGTTTGTCCCTGGAAAGACCAAAAACGTGTTTGTCTTAAACATAGAAAAGGTACAAAAAAAAGGAAGAAGTTGACGTCTGTGTCAAACAGCTGTGTTTTTGCTGCTCTTTGCTGAACTTTTCCTTCTTCTCTCAGAGCGACCAGGTGAAGCTGTGGTGGCCTCACACTCATGGACGTCAACCTTTTTACGTGCTGTCAGTCAGAGGGCTTCAGGACAAACTTCTCCTCCTGGACACACGGTCAAAGGTCAGAGTTAAAACAACAAACTCTCTGCATCCATGTTTTTATTAGTGAAGTAATTCCATGAGTTATACTGGGTTTTTCACAGCCTTGTTATCAATATCTGTGCTGCAGGTTTATTTCCGTACAGTGGAACTGGTCCAGGAGCCGATCCCCGGCTCTCCAGGTCTCAGCTTTTATTTCCGTATCAACAACAAACCAATTTTCCTCAAAGGCTCCAACTGGATCCCGGCTCACTCCTTCCAGAACCAGGTCTCTCCTGCTCTGTGAGTCTGTCGATCTGTTGTTTTCAAACTCTGTACGGTGAGGAGAAGAGTCTGACTTTCTCATTTGTTCTCCAGTGTGAGGAACCTGCTGCAGTCGGCAGTGGACGTGAACATGAACGCACTGAGGGTGTGGGGAGGTGGAGTTTATGAGCAGGACCTGTTCTACAGCGTCTGTGATGAACTGGGGATCATGGTACTGATGAATTAAGTCGTACGTTTATGAAATTAAAATCGAAATGTTTCGAGAAAAAAAGTTTTAACATTTAGATGTGTATCCACTTATTTCATAACTTGAGTATAATTTAATGAGACTCTCCATGTTTCTCACTGTGACACATGTAAGCCTAACGTGTGGGTTTTTCGTCTTAAAACATCTGTGACACATGTAAGCCTAACGTGTGGTTTTTTTGTCTTACAACATCAAACTTACAAACAACATTAAACTTTCAACTTAAATCTCATAACGTTATGACTTTATTCTCAGAAATGAACGGCTTTTTTTTCTCGAAACCTAATGACTTTTTTCCTATAAATTATGTTGTTTTTATTGTAGCTTTTTGAACTTATTCTCATTAATTTACTAATGACTTTTTTCCTATAAATTATGTTTTTATTGTAGCTTTTTGAACATGTTCTCACTAATTTATCTTAAATAATCATTCGTAATTTTTTTTTTTTTTATGCTCTGTGGCCCTTATACGCCATCGTAGTTTTTCAACATGCTTTAACGTCCATCCACAGGCGACAGACAGGAAGTAAAGTAGACACAGGTGTGGACATATTTTTACTGAACTGATGCTTCTGAACCTAATATTTAAGAAAATAATTTGCTAACTTCTCTTCGTAAATTTTATTCTAGAATTTTCACGACATGTCTATATATCAATATAGTCCTTATCATTTTTTTGCTAGTGGTCCTTGACTGTGCTGATAGTCTTCATGTCCAACTCAGATCTGGCAGGACTTCATGTTTGCCTGTGCCATGTACCCAACGGAGGAGGACTTCATAGAGACAGTGAGAGAAGAAGTGGTTCAGACGGTGCGTGAAGTGTTGACCTGCTGCTGCTGACTGATGGATGTTCTGGGCTGCTCAGGTTATCTAAGTGTTCCTCATTGACCAGGTTACTCGTCTCAAGTCTCACCCTTCCATAATCATCTGGAGTGGAAACAATGAAAACGAAGCAGCTCTGGCCACGGACTGGTTTGATATCCCGGTCTCTGAGAGGCCCGTTTACCTCAAAGACTATGTGACGCTGTATGTGAACAACATCAGGAAGATCGTTCAGATGGTGAGTCACTGGTGTAAATTAAGTGTTTTGTGGCTTTTCTTAGCTTAGCTTACTCCTATACAGAAGTCCACAGAGAAAAGCATTTATTTTACATCACAGCCAACAGTAGGTGTCACTTCAGCTCTGGATGTTAAACTAAAGACAAACACTATTGACATCGGTACTGCAGGATGAACCTTGTCTAAATTTCATTTTCTGTCAAAAGAGCCCATGTCATAGCATAGCATATTTAGCTCTGTCACCGCCTCGTACAGCCACATCTGTTTCCACTGTTTCTTATGTATTGATGTATTCTTTCCTAGGAGGACCAGAGTCGTCCCTTTCTGGTCTCCAGTCCCACCAATGGGGCGGAGTCAGAGCAGGAAGGATGGGTGGCAGCAGATCCTTACGACACTCACTACGGAGACACTCACTTCTACAGCTACCTCTCCGACTGCTGGGACTGGACCACGTTCCCTCGAACACGCTTTGCCTCTGAGTACGGCTTCCAGTCCTGGCCGTCCTTCTCCACTCTGCAGCCCGTAAGGAGACAAAATATTTCATCTGTGTCGTCTAAGTACTGTGTACTGTGTGTACTTATGTGGAACAGGGGATGATTCCATACTAGATTCATTGGAGCTTGAATATAAACAACATGGAATGAAGCTCAAAAGAGACTAAGGCAGAAAATTAACCAGAACACGTTACAATGAAAAAAGTACAACAAAGTTTACATATTGAAGCAGAAGATAACAGCTGCAGCTCTACAGTTGAACACACGTGTGACATGTGACAGTTTTCTTGCGATGTCCCAGGTGTCGGTAGCGGACGACTGGAGCTACAACAGTGACTTTGTTTCCCACCGTCAGCATCATCAGGACGGGAACCAGCAGATGTTAGAACAAGCTGCGTTACACTTTCACCTGCCGAACTCCACTGATCCACTGAAGAGATTCACAGACACCATCTACATCACACAGGTGAGGGGGAGCACATTTATGCTGACAGTTAAAGGGAGTGTGCTGAAAAAAAACAACAAAGATCAACTGCATTTATTTTCACACACAATGATGTTTCCTGTTTGCAGGTGATGCAGGCTCAGTGTATAAAAACACAGACTGAATTCTATCGACGCAGTCAGACCGAGATCATTGAGGGCAAAGGTCAAACCATGGGAGCTCTGTACTGGCAGCTGAATGACATCTGGCAGGCCCCCTCCTGGTCATCCATCGGTACAGTATCGTCTTCTGTTGGTCATTATTCCGTTGTTGTTGCTGTGAAGATGGAGAACTGTTGGAGATGATTTGTGTTTCTCTGCTCAGAGTTTGGTGGAAAGTGGAAAATGCTTCATTACTTTGCTCAGAACTTCTTCGCTGCCGTCCTTCCTGTTGCGTTTGAAGCTGCAGACACACTGTGGGTCTATGCTGTCTCAGACCTGAGTCAGGACCTGAAGCTCACAGCTGTGGTTGGTTTTCATTACAAATCACTTCTGATGTAGAAATGACTCATAACAAATACATTCATGAACACACGCAAACAGGTCTTTGCTTTCGACCACTAGGTGGCAGTTTACTCCTGGGCTCAGTTCGATCCTGTTTGCTCACTAAAGTCAGATGCACTCCTGGTCCCTGGGGGCAGCGCTGTGGTCATTTTCAAACAGCCTGTCGCCGCCCTGCTGGCAGGATGTGGAGGCTGCACCAGGGCCACATGCTTCCTGACATTCCACCTGGAGGACAGTAGTGGGCAGCAGGGTCCCACTAACCACCACTTCCTCTGCTCCCCCAAAGACGCTGCAGGACTCCAGAGACCAAACATCACAGTAAGTCTCTTTGGTGGAAAAGTCATTCCTGACATTTATTCCTCCTCAGCATCTTATATCTGGAGGTTTTCAGCTGCTTCCATGGGCAGATGAGAACGGACTGTTTCAATTATTTTCTTTTTTAGTCTGGCTGCTGATTGGTTGATCTTGTTAGCTGTAAAACCAAACGCCTCTGAAACAGCGTTACTGTCCCTGCAGGCTAAGGTGCAGCAGAGCGACGCCTCCATCACCGTCAGCCTCCACACTGACTCCGTGGCTCCCTTTGTTTGGCTCGACGTTGGAAACATCCCCGGACGGTTCAGCTGCAACGGTTTCTTGATGGTTTCTAGAAACATGACAGTCAGGTTTGAAGCGTGGCGTCCGACCAGCGCCACAGAAGTGTCCAAATCACTGACGGTCTTGTCTTTAACTGACGTTTACTGAAAACAGGAATAATGACATTTATACAGCAGGTCCAGGTCATTAGCTGAACAAACAGAAAGTGGACAAGGGTCAACTCTTCGTTGGTCTTGTATTATATACGACAAGGGTCAACTCTTCGTTGGTCTTGATTATGTACCGAGAAAAAGAAGAAGAAGAAGAAGAAGAAGAAGTGTTTTCATTTGTGGAGTCTCAGTTGTCAGAATTGAACAAAGCTGCTGGGTGAGTTGTTCAACATCAGCCTGGTTCTTTCAGACATCTGATAATGATGACAACCTGGTTCTTTCAGACATCTGATAATGACGACAGAAATACTGTTATTTAATAATAATAAAGAAAAAACCCTATCATTTTATTATTATATTATTATATATATGTTTTTGAATTTTTGCACACTTTTTCCAGAATAATGACTTTGATAATGGACGTAATGAATGTAATTCTTAATGAAAAAAATATGTCCATGTTATTGTTAAATCCAATGCTTTTTACAGAAATCATTAAAGCTACGTTGATTGAACTTTGAAGAAATCTGTATCAGTAAAATACAGAGGATTTAAGAAAAGTCATTGAAGTCATTAAATGATCAGTCATTCAGTCATTGGTGGGTGATACTGAGATTATTTTGTCTAATGTGTTGAGGATGTGTTCGATGCTGATGTTATTGTTATATGTTTGTCTTCACTGTACATTTCCAATCTCTGCTTTTTGACCTGATTAATACTTGATCGTTCAGACGTGTCCCCTCCAGTCAACATAAAGTACGTAGACTATAGTCCCCCGTCTCCAGGTCCATCATCAGTGACTGTGTCAGCACTTCCTGATAAAGCAGACCTGTCAACAGGGGTTATTGGAAATGTTCCTTTTGTTCCTCTCAGTTTCAGCTGTTCAGGTTTGTATCAGCCGATGTAATAAGCTCAACATTCCTCACTGATCTAACTGACTGACAGCTGATCTTCTGTACAACCTCCAGAGCAAAGTGTTGACTGACTTTTACAGCCAGAATAAATAAAACTAAACTCAGTGTTTATGTAGTGTCTGACAACTTTTCTACTTTTTTCGAATTTTTTTATTTATGTCTTATTTTATGGACCTAACTAGTGTCTGACAACTTTTCTACTTTTTTTTTGTTAAATATCAACAAGATATTTTTTTAATTTATTTCTTATTTTATGGACCTAAGAACTCAAACAGATCCTGAATGAGGATTCAGGTCCAGATGGTTCAGTGTGGGCTCAGACCCAGGTTGAAGGGTCATCAATGTCTCTGTACAGAGTAGAGACTGTGATTGGCATCTTTACCACTAGGTGTTGCTAAATCCTTAAGAGCGTACCGATAGAATCCAGAGCATCTATGTGCGAGTTCAGGTTTAGTTTCTAGGTCTAAGAGTGTTTGTCAGAGTTGTTGGCCCCCCTGATTGTACCCCGGTCCCTCCCCCAGAGAGAGGTCTGAACACGAGTGGTTTAGGTGGAAAACGTGAGTTTGGATAATGCTTTTGAATGATGAATGCTCTTAGTTGTGCAACGTGGTGAGAGAGAGAGAGGGAGAGAGAGAGAGACATGCTGTAGCCGAGTCACAATAGAAAGCTTTGAAGCAGCGTGTATGCAGGCGGTTATTTTCCCTCTCCGTGTGTGTGTGTGTGTGAACTTTGAACCAGAGGGGGGAGAGAGAGGACTGCAGCCACAGGAAGGAGAGTTTGAATAAAGGAGCAGGACTGAGGACCGGTGTCTCTGTGCCATGGACCTGATCCTGCACCGACAACAACAACAACACACTCCACACACTCTCACCGGCTCCAACTGAAGCCTCACCACCGGAGCCGTTTACCAATTTATATATACTTTTTTAAAACTTTTTTTCTTGAATTATTTTGTATTGAATCCGCGGAAACATAGTCCAGACCTCAGCAACCTAGAGATGTTCCTGCGGAGATGTTCCCCCTGGTGCCTCCTGGTTCTCCTCTCCACTCTGCTCCAGGGCGCAGGCTGCACCAACACCAACAGCAGCCACGGAGACGTTTTCCTGGAGAATATTTTGAAATTTTACGGGGAAAATTCCTTCATTTCCACGGCTGATCTGGAGAACCTGCTGCTGGTGATCTCAAAGAGGAGGTCGGAGTCCGTGAGTGAAGAGAACCCTCTGGCTGACCAAGAGGTGACCACTGCTTAGTACTTCTTTCTTTCTTCCTTCTTTCCTTCCTTCCTTCCTTCCTTCCTTCCTTCCTTCTTTCCTTCGTTCCTTCCTTCCTTCCTTTCTTTCTTCCTTTCTTTCTTTCTTTCTTTCTTCCTTCCTTCCTTCCTTTCTTTCTTCCTTTCTTTCTTTCTTTCTTTCTTCCCCACCCTTCATTCCTTCCTTCCACCCTTCCTTCCTTCCATCCTTCCTTCCTTCCTTCCTTCCTTCCTTCCACCCTTCCTTCCTTTCTCCCTCCCTTCCTCCCTTCCTTCCTTCCTTCCTTCCTTCCTTCCTTCCTTCCTTCCTTCCTTCCTTTCTTTCTATTACGAAGCTGTCCAATCACAGTCTTTGTCTGTACCTAATCTGTCGACGCCTCTCAGACGTGTCATGACGTAGGAAGTGTAATTTACTTGTTGATTGTTAAAAAACACCTGATTAAAGTCATCATTTACTCTTATATATAAATATATGTATGTCTTTGGACGGAATGTTGGACGTTTTCTCCAGCAGTTTGAAGCAGTGTAATAGATCAGTGTTTCCCAAAGACTGGGTTGCGACCCTCCGGTGGTTCGCAAGAGATTTTTTTTTTTTTTTTTGGGTCGTCTTGCATCAGGTTTTCTAGGACGAATAATGTCTTATTAACTTCGGTCGCGAGTTACTCAGTTGTGACTTTTAAAATCTGGGTCCCCAGAAAGAAAGTTTGGGAAACACTGTAATAGATGAACTTTATCATGTAACTGATGGTTAGAACTAGTTCTGTTCAATAGTAATTCATAATCAGTATGAATGGTTAATAATGATCACAGCTGATAGTAATTCATAATGATAATAGTGTTATTAATAGGTAATAACGACCAATACTAGTTAATAGTGTTATTATACTGTTACATCATATGTAACCTCAGTGACGGGGGTTATTGATGGTTACTATCAATAATGATTAGTAATGGTTAATGATTTTCTCTGTATTGTGTTAATTCTCTCTCTCTCTCTGGTCCTCAGTGTCTCTCGGCCGAGCAGATTCTGTCCCACTTTGGCTTCAGTAATGTGAGTCAGCTGACTGTGGGACATCTGGGGAGTATCTGTCCTGCCGTGTTGACCCAGGTGCTGCTGCCCTCCTGCCCCTACACACCACCAACCCCCCCGCTCTCTATTGACAACTCTGGTGAGTTGCTTCATCACAACGGCTGCACGGTGCTGTTTCCCTGGTTTTATATGTGGAGGCCATCCCCCAACCCACAACACCTCCGGACCCCCTCCTTTTGTCTCCTCGTCCTCTTCTTTCACCCAAATAATTCACAGTTCATGGTCGGTGTTTGTTTCCCCGAGTCAAGTCGAGTCGACTGTGCAGAAGTTTTTTTACCCACAGACACAAACTGATTTTCTCCGTGTCCGCTTCAGCTTCCATTTGACATTTTCTCTGGATTTAGTGACGTTTCAGACCCAGTTGAGGACTCGGTGCCTAGAAACACATCAGGTGATGTTCAGTTCAAGAACAGCGCCCCCATTGGTCCACAGTGTTGACTGTGGGGTTTGCAGGGTTTTTCTGGCCCATGGCCGAGTGACATTTGGCCTAAAGAGCTGCGTCTTTGTGTTAATCCTCACACAACAAGCTCACAAACAGACAAAACGGATTCAATCTCCGATTGGATTGGTGGAGAGATAGAGGAGAGAGGGAAACATGATTCATTTCTGTGTGGTCTATGTTCATAGAGTGATGGGCTGTGGGTGTAGACCTGAGGTCTGAGGAGGTCTAATGATCACAGCACTGACTCTGCTGAGGCTCTGATAGAAACACAGTGTGTGTCAGACTTTGCTTTGTGTCACCCAGTCATCAGGATCACGGTATCTGCTCACAGCATGTCGATACTACACAGTGAGCTCACAAACAGACAAAACGGATTCAACTACACAGTTGTAATCTGCTGCAGCACTGATCAAAGGGAAAGTTGATGATTGAATTATGAGCGGTTAGCACATCGTGGGCTAAGATTTACAAACCAACAGCTCGCGCGTGCATTTGAGCTTTTGTTGTGTTTGTGTGATCGTTGTGTTGCTTTGTTCCACGTGTGACGACAACTGTAGTTGTACAGTACAACAGATTGATGTTTCCATCTTTTAATCTGAGTCCATAACAATACCCACAGTGGTTACACAGTGGTTTACAGCTGGTGTCAGGGAACCAAGATCAGGAGGTTGGATTGTGAAGCACAATGTTGACCAAACACAATAACCTCAGCCTTTTTGGCATCAAAATGAATGCCAACTGGGGCTGGAAAAGGACACATTTGAATGTCCTGGTGGAAGAGAGTAGTAGAACGACACTATCTGTGTGCTGTGATGATAAATCACTGTTTTTTTCTCTATGGACTTTGGTGCAGGATTTAACTGATTGCGAGGTTAAACAAACCTCCTAAAGTCTGTCCCGTGGAACGGTGAAGCAGTGCACATACTACTTTACACTCAGGTCATACACGTATACTCATATTTAATGTTTTAATTCAACTGCTCAACCACGGTCTCCCTGTTCTTCTCTGACAGTGTGGGGTTATGGCTTTCTGGCCGTCACCATCATCAACCTGGCGGCTCTGCTGGGCCTTCTACTGATCCCCTTCACCAAAAAGTCTTATTTCCCCAAAGTCCTGACCTACTTTATTGGCCTGGCCATCGGAACACTCTTCTCCAACGCCGTGCTTCAGCTTATACCAGAGGTGCGTCAGAGATGAGAGATTTAATCAGACAGATGAAGCACAGTATTGTGTTCTGCACTCAAAGGTTTTTTTTTTATTCCACCGTCAGGCTCTGGGATTCGACCCCAAATCTGACAACTATGTGCACAATGCAGTTGGGATATTTGGAGGTTTTTACATCCTCTACTTTGTGGAGAAGGTTCTGAAACTGGCTTTGCGCATGGACCATGAGGTAGTATCCTGGAGACGTGAAGTCATCCGTATACTTGTAGTAGATTGCTTAATAATGATCAGTTTATGACATTCTTATCAAACAGCAGCTGATAATCAGTCCTGGTGTTCTCACTGCCACACTGCTGCCCTTTACAACAGTCAATAAAAAGTTTTTATTTAGGTTTTAATATTTCACACCGGGGCCAAAGTCACAACGAAAAGCAAAACATTTCACACTTGGAGCAGGTTGGTGACAGTGTATTATGTCCCTGTCTGTCCCTGTCTGTCCCTGTCCCTGTCTGTCTGTCTGCCTTCACAGCATGGCCACAGTCACTTTATTCCTGGAGAGACGCCTCAGGAGAATGGAGACGCCGTGGAGGGAAAAGGGACGGTTTATTTGAACAGCATTAGCACCATCACCTCAGACAAGAGCACGCTGAGCCTGGACACCAACCTGACGACGTCTCAGGTACCGAACACTCTCTGAGTTTTAACTGTAGAGCTTTTACTGATCAGACAATAAATGATGATGTCTGATACAAAAGTCCTTCAGAAGCTCAGCCAGGCCAGACCTTCAGCCTGTGAATTGTTATGTAGTGAAATGTCTTGATTTTTGAGATTAGGCTTGAGTGTTTATCTTAGCACCTGGACCATAAACCAGTGACTTTGCCTGAGTGATTAAGGTGTGACTGACACACACCAGAGATTAGAGCTTCTCTCAATCATTAACCTTTAAATTAAATAAACAGAATAGTGTAAAAATGGAGGAGTCTCCATGGCCTAGAAGGGACTGAAATGATGACGTAAGGACGGGGCAGGTAGACAGAGGACGGGATTGTCCCATTCCAGGACAAAGACTCCTTGTTTGGCTCAATCCGAACTGCAGTGGCTGTGTTTATGTCCACTCACTCTCTGGTTTCATTCACAACACTCGGCCCTTAGGTTTGTTTTGTTTCTGCTGCTGATGGAAATGACTTTCTGTATTCCTCACATATCTGTCACTCCCGATGGACTGATTCAGTGTTGTTAGTATTTTAGTCATAGTCATTGTCATTCACAACAATCAAGTATTAAAAGGGCTTATGTTGTATAAATGCGATACTAGGATGTGACAGTCAACATTTGGAGCCTGTATGTAGTTGACAGAAGCTGCTGGTCCGCTGCTAACACCTGCGGTCTCTCTGTGTCAGTGGGGACTGAAAACAGATTTCTAACTCAGTGGTCCTGAGTGATGCAGGCAGAGATAGGTTAATGAAGCTATAGAAAACTGCTGACTCGGTGCGCGTGCTTTGTCATTTGCCGATCCTCAGGATGTCCAGATGTCCACTGTGTCCTGTCACTGGCTGCGTGGGAAGAATGTTGCCAACATCAAGACCATTGCCTGGATGATAACACTGAGTGACGCTGTACACAACTTCATAGACGGCCTGGCCATCGGTGCCTCGTTCACTGTGTCCATACTGGCAGGATTCAGTACTTCCATTGCAATCATGTGTGAGGAGTTTCCACATGAGTTGGGTGAGTGTGTTGTAAAATGTGCCAAATTACGGCCTCTGGTGTTCAGGAGACGGCACTGCGATACACATTTTTAGTTACTGTATTACTCAATAGTACATCTGGTCGGTTGCAGTAGTTCCACACTCGTAGCATGTATATGACTGAATACAAGTTTCTACTCACAATAATAGACAGTAAAGGCTCTGTCCTCTCTGATTAGTTATTAGAAGGAGCCCACACTTCCTGATCGTACAGCTCACTTTCAGACTGTCTCTAGTCATCATTGCTGCTTCGTCCTCTTCCTGCTGCAGGTGACTTTGTGATCCTCTTGAACTCCGGTATGAGCATTCCACAGGCCATCTTCTTCAACCTGCTGTCGGCGGTGTCCTGTTACATCGGCCTGGTCTTTGGAATTCTGTTGGGAAGTGCATTTGCCCCTAATGCAATCTTTGCCATCGCAGGAGGAATGTTCCTGTACATTGCACTGGCAGATATGGTGAGGGACCAGAAGACAATTGTCCTTATGTGTTGGATATAAGTTGTGTAAATGATGTGTGTGTGTGTGTGTGATTTTTGTTCCCTAGTTTCCAGAGATGGAAAGCATAAGTCGGGAACAAAAACGAAACTCTTCCAAGATCATCTTCTTCCTGATTCAGAACGCTGGCCTGCTAAGCGGGTTCTTCATCATCCTCATGATCACCATGTTTGCTGGAAGCATCAACCTGGGCTAACACGGAGCCGCACAGGGACTCATCCAGGAAAATTAAATTTGAAAAACGTTTTACGCTGCTTAGGAAGTCTGAACAGGAAACATGAATGTAACAGGAATTTTTGTACAAAAATTAAGGTATTGAAGTTAAAAAAAAATCTATTTTATTTTATTTTTGACTATCAGTATAGTGTGAAGTTACCTCCATGAAATGGAGAAATCTTTTATAATCATTTCTGTATGCAATCTAGAAAAATTGTTATAAAGGGAACAATAAATTATTTTTCCAGACTTAACATAAGGCTATTGGTGTCTTACATTTGTTGTAGGGTCTCTGTGTGCACCCGTACTGTAAACTTTCATCAGCTCTTATTATTCTTAGGTTATATAGGTGGAATATTTAATTTGTATGTAAATTGAGTTCACTTTTATAGCTTATCACACATTATTTTAAAAAGTGTTTCATATTATCAAGAGGTAAGTTTAGAGTCCATGAGTTAGGTATGAGAAAATTCAAATAACCATATGCTAGAATGTTTGTTCTTTCTAAAAAAAAAAAAAAGCACCCAGCCCTCCGTTCTAACCTACAGGTAGTAGAAACAGCTTGAATTATTGGTATATGAATTACCTTCATTTACAAAAGTGTAAGTAATGAACTATCTTGTAGTTTAACTGACCTCATCATTGACTAAAATCTCGGCCTGTTTAGTTGAAGACAAGGCTGACATACTGGCAGGAAGCCCAGTGTTTGGGAGTCACTGGTCTAGACTGACTCCTATATGGGATAGGGTGAGCAGCGCGTAACTTCCAAGCATATAAACACAGCACCTGACACTAGTGGCCGATAACTGGCTGACAGGACTTGACTCCATTTTGAGGTCAAACAGATCATAAAAACATGTCGTTGCACATATTTGTAAAATGTAATTAATTCCTGCCAAGGGAATTAGTTAACAAAACAAATAACTTGGCAGCAGTAAAGTCACTGTTTATGTTCAATAGACGACTGCTTTATCGTTTTGCCGAGTGTCTGTGAACGCAGCAAGTTTTCTGCACATTGTACTTTGGCCGGAATATTGACAACATGAAGACAAATTAAAGTATCCCGTGGACATCAGAGACGTTCGGTTCTATTCTCTTAATGTTCTTCCTCTGAGCTGAATGTTAAACGATTCTATACAAACCGTCTAAATGCAGCTAACTAAACAGCGTTATAACTGAAGCATTTGTTTCCTTCTCTTCACTAAAGACAAGCAGACAAGTGTACTGAGGTTTGTTTTACGTCATATTCTCTTACGGGGGAAATTCCATGGCAATGGCTTTAACACCACGTTTTGCATGTTATGTTCCTGAGCTGTAGCCTTCAGACGGACTTTTATACAGTCACCTGACGATGATAAATCAGAGTAATGGCTGTTTCTAATTTATGGTTATCTTTATCCTGAATAGGGATGCTACTACAACAAGTTTAGACAAAAAATAAAACACAATCTTAGGCTTGCGGTGCATGCAACGTCACGTTCTTAGTTTTTAGCTAAACATCGTACATCATATCATAACATTTAACATTCCAACATTTTGTTTGTCATCTGTCTGACATCTAAAGACACAAAGGGAAAAAAAATCTGAATTTTTAGAATATTAGACTAAAAGAAAAGAGATTTGATTTAAAATCTTATTTTACACTTAATTTGAATTAAATTGATTTTTTTAAAGTAATTTGGGTCGATAACACAAGTACAATGTCAGAATTGTTTTCTTTACAAATGGGGAAAGTCTTTAAGATACATATGTTTATCTGAATGCTGACGTCGGTACTTTGCTAACCTTTGTATTTTCCTGTGTTACCTTTATCCCACCAGCTTTCGATCAACTCCTGTTCATTGGCTAACTACATGTAATATTGGCTAATATTTACATGGACTTTTAAACCATGTTAAACAGTATTTTTTCAAAAGGTATGTGTGTACCAGGGGCATTTTAACTGTCTTTAACTGAATGTCATTTTTAAAGTGTGTTTTTCTCTTTAACACCACAGCAGAGCTGAACCATGAGGACTGTCCAGGTCAGAAAGTACCAATGTGAAGACGAAGAGAGAGTAAAGGAAATCTTCACTTTAGGGATGAGCGAGCACGTGCCTGCCTTATTTAGGTTTGTCCTCAAACAGCCGCTGAGCCAGGTGGTGTTTATGTGTACATTCTGTGCTCTTTTGACCATCTCTAAGTCATTTCTGCTACCTTTCGTGGTAGTCACCCTGATGGTGGCTGGGGTTCGGATGACTGCTGTTTACATGAGCAACCAGAACATCAAAACCTGCCTCAGGCGAGACCTGAATGACATCACTGAGAACTACATGAAGCAGACGGGTGCTTGTTTCTGGGTGGCTGAAACTGACGGCCGTGTTGTGGCAACAGTGGCGTGCCGGCCCAATAAGGCACAGCCTGGCTGTCTGGAACTGAAGCGTGTGTCGGTACTATGGAGTCACCGCAGGATGGGCATTGCTAAGGCTCTTATTCGGACAGTGGTAGATTTTACACGTGACAGAGGCTACGCTGCAGTCATCCTGCAAACAGCGGTGATTCAAACTGATGCTCACAGGCTGTATGAGGCCATGGGCTTTCAGAAGATAAGAGAGGTATTTCTACCTGAAACTATAACCAGAATTATAAACTTCACTTTGTTTGAGTACAGACTGGATTTACAGAGATAGAGTAGAAGAGAATGACAATATTTTAAGACAAATGAAATCATGCCTCAAGAATCCAAAGAAAATGAATAAATGACATTTTTCATTTTTTTTAGTGTCTGGTTTGTTTTTGCTTTTTCAGGAGTATGAAAGTATGAAAGTAAGACATATCAAAATACTAAAAGGAAAATAATGTATTGGTCTAGTTACATTCCTGTATGTTGTATTGATACATTCTCATTAATTAATTCACCTTTACTCATTTCCCAAGGCAATACACTATTACGACACAGAAGCTTAGCTACACAGAAATATTTTTTAAAAATCACTAAAATATCTTCACATCCACTTGCTTTGAAGTTCTTCAGCTATATTTGTTTCTGCTTCTTTCTTTACAGCTTGTTTGCAAAATATAAAAAGAGTGTGCTGATATTTGTGGTATGATAATGCACAAATATACATTGATGATTTTTGTACGATAGTTTTAAGTGCTGTACATTGGAGGCACAATTTAGTTTACCTGTTATTTTAAATAAGAAAAATGTACAAAAATAAGAAAAAGACTTTTATTTGAACTGTGAACTATTACTGTTTTACTTCATGCAATGGAAACCTTTCCCATATATATTTCAACTTCTTCTTACTTTTGTTGTACCTTAGTAATGTGCTGTGTATGTTTAGTGACAACAGTAATGGTTTTGGCTTCAAAACATGGTCGCTGCAACACCATACACTTCTAGATACTAGTATGGTTGACGTGGGATAAAAGGTAAGAATAAAGAGAATAAAATGGCTTAAATGCGATGAACGTATAAAAGTTAGCGGTGAGAATTACATTACTTTAAAAGCCCATCGGCAGAGAATATAAAATCGCACGTTGTCGATTGTAATCTTAAGGCGTAAAGATTAGGAAATCGGTGTAACACTTATACGTTACCTTTCATTTACTGGCTTTTTATTTTTAAACTAAAATTGTAGACTTTTTTGGTGGAAAACAATTGTAATTATGGATTAATACCACAAATAAGAATTTGGTAAATCAATAAAGTAGCAACAACTGATGACTAGTTGTAGTACATCGCTAATCACTTTTCCATTATTCTAGAGTGCCCGTGAATGCAGCATCTTTGTCAAATCGGTAGTTCGCCCAAGGCGATGACAAGCACTTGCAGACACAAGGAGATAAGTTTTCGCTGACTTCATTGCCCTTGAGAACAGACCACATAGGTAGGTCGACTTTATTTTTTTGTCTTATTCACCGAAGAAAGTAAAGAGAGTTTTATTTTTAATCTGCATTTTGTTGAGGCTAGTATCAATGCTAACCGCTGTTAGCTAAACACGTAAACAAACAACAATAACTTGTGATATGACTCGAAGAAGATAGAAAGGACAGATTTTCTAATGTATGGTGGGTTTTCTGAACCAAGTCGTTGCTGTTAGTTCACGTAAAAATATGCAGATCCAAAATAAATCAGCGTTACGATTTAATGTAATATGGGCATTGGCCCAAAAAAGAAACGGGAAACACTGACCATTATTTGCAAGGCTAACTTTAAACAATTATTGTGAACGTCATCTCTAGGTGTATTTTAGGTAATAGTTATTCTTCCCTAGCTGACAATATCTACCTAATATCAGGCTTTCACATTATCAAGCTATGTTTAGCCATATCTGAACTAATGGTTATATATATATACATATATATACACACACACACACACACACACACACACACATATATATATATATACATGTAAACTGTGAGTTATCTATCTTACCAACCTTTTTAGCTTTTGTGTTTTTGTCACGTGACAGCCAGGCTGTGTGGCGAGCAGCAAGTACTACAGCTCGTTCACGAATCGTTCATATGGATCTGTCTTTCGTTTGGTTTTATTTAACTCTGTTCTTATTTAACTTATGCTATTTAACCTTATTTATGTCCCTTAGATGTGTATAGTGTTATGTATATAATGTAAAGTGTGTAAAAGTATGTTTATAAATAAATACTTTTGAACAATCCACATAATGATTGTGTTACACTCAATCACGCCTTGTGGACATAATATCTGCATCATGTAAACATTTTAGGGAACTTATTAATTGTTCATTCGTTCCCAGATCTCGTTCATTTTTCATGTGACAGCTACCTAGTCACTGTCACTCTGTTAACATATTTAGCTAAATATGTTCTTTAAAAATAATTTTAAAAATTACCCTTTTTAAATTTCCCATCAGAGCTGAACAATGGCCAAAATTCAGATCAGGAAATACCAAGATGACGACAATGAGGCAGTAAAGGAGATCTTCACCTTGGGGATGAGCGAGCATGTGCCTTCGTCCTTCATGTTTTTACTCAAACAGCCACTGAGCCAGATGGTGCTTATGTGTGCATTCTGTGCTCTCCTGACCAGCTCTAAGTCTTTTCTGCTGCCCATCCTGGCTGTCACCCTGATGCTTGCTGGTATGCGGCAGTTCGTTGTCTATATGTTCAACCAATATATTGACACCTGCTTTAGGAAGGACCTTAAAAACATCAGTGACACCTACATGAAGCAGAAGGATTCCTGTTTTTGGGTGGCTGAAAGTGATGGTCGTGTGGTGGCAACAGTGGCCTGCCTGCCGAAAGAGGAAGCACCTGGTTGCCTGGAACTGAAGCGCATGTCTGTTCTCCGCAGTCATCGCAGAATGGGCATCGCCAAGGATCTCTGTCAGACAGTGGTAGATTTTACACGTGACAGAGGCTACGCTGCAGTCATCCTTTATACCTCTGTGGTTCAAACTGACGCTCAGAAGCTGTATGAGGCCATGGGCTTTCAGAAGTTAAGAGAAATTGTTGCCCCTGAAACTGTAGCAAGACTTATAAACTTCACTCTGTTTGAGTACAGACTGGAATTTGCAATGGGTAAGAAATAGAGACTGACACTGTCATTAAGACACCAAACAAAGGAAATAATTTGGCTTTTTTTCAGGAGACAGGACATACAACTAATGCTCAGGGCAGATAGTTACTGTACACATTGTTTTCAAAATGTTAAAAGGTCAATGAGTTTAATTATTTTTATAACTAAATATAACATTAAGCTTATTCATATTGAAATCACAAGTCAATTCTGTTACATCTACAATGCTCATGACCAGGGGTCACCAACATTTTTGCCACTGAGAGCTACTTCAAGGGTACTTAGTAATATGAATAAGTAATACAGACTTTCTGAACAAAGTAATAATAATCGAAAAGAAAGCTAATTCTGCTGCATTATGTTCTGGGACATACAGTAGCAGCCATTCGGCTATCATTGCAAGTGTTATAATCCAAAAAGTACAGTAACAGTACAATTTATGACCCTGTGGACTAGATTTATTTTTAGAACATACCCACGGGCACCTTAACTAAATATTGTTGGTGTCCACTGCTCAAGACCAAACGTTTTTTTCTTTCTGATTCAGTAATATATAAATCTGAATTTTTTTTTGCAGCTTGAAACTTGAAAAAAAGACCAAACCTTGATATTGAATTGTATTGTTTGATATTGTGATGATGGTCACACGTTAACCTCTGTTGCTGGTAAAATCTACATTTTACACAACAAACACACCTGACATGCAATTGAACATGTATGTCATTTTTAATTTTAAAACTTGTAAATGTCTTTATTATCATCTTTCTGCTGCATGGATTTTGTGAAGTGCACAGTGAACTATTATTAGAGCCTTACTCTGGATCCTTACAGTCCTATTGGCTTGGCTGCTGTTGGAGACCTAAAACAAAGCCTGGCACCTGTTCAACTAAAATCTAAAAACTATTAAGAGAAACTGAGCTAATGTGTCATTTAAAGGTTGAGTAGAGCCAGGAATTGTCTTACACAAGTTAAATGTATACAACAAATGTTGTTTTACATCATATCTTAATTGTCTCTTAACCTTTCCTAAGACAAGTACTGATTTTTGCTTTGACTTCTGAACGTAAGAAAGATAACACTTTTTATCAATGGTTTGATTTCTTCTACTGATACATTATTTGTTCATTTTTAAATAAATAAACCGTTTATTAATAAAATGTATTAATTGGATTTGATCATAAAATAAAAATAAACATCTTATTAAAGTGAATACATTGACAACATGTCAGTATCATTTTTATATTTAAATTATAAACAGTTAAAGAATCATGTTGCAGAAAAAGTTAAATGCAAACAAACAGTTTGAGTCAAATGGAATATCCTTTTTTAAAAATCAGAAATTGACTGCAGAGAAAAATACGTAAATGCCGAAGTGAAGAATTCTTTAACATGGAAAAAAGCAAAAAAGCCAAATGATAGGCATGATAATTCAGGCTGCTTGAAAATAGGTAGAATTAATAGGTAGAATTAATCTCCATCTTGAAAACTGTCACACATTTACTATCGAAGTTTATAACAAACCATTTTGATAGTGCTTTACACAACCATGGGACTGACACAGGCAGCAGCTCGGACACCTAAACATGGACTGACAAGAGCTCAATGGAAGGGCCGGTGGATGTAAGCTTGCCAACACCGAAGACGGATTGTACCTCGTTAACTGGTAAGAATTAGCCGTAGTTTGTCCTTGATGTAAAATTAAACGGTTAACACATAAATGCCAAGTTTCCGTCAAACGGTTGTCGGTTGTCATTTTTAAATTAGAAAAGAAATTAGTTAATGCTAAAGGCTACTGGTGTTAGCAGAGGGGTCAGGGAGTGTCCGCTGACAGCTGCACCGAATCCAGTAATTAAATATCCACGAGGTGTTTTGAAGACGGTTTTTCTGAGGTGAATATTTAATGACAATATTATGATACGTTATTGCCGGTTATAAAGTCACTATTAACTATAAACTGTCACTATTGTCATGTGTAATAACATAATCAACCTGTTTCAGAAATATATATGTCCGAATTTGACCAAATTTTAACCATGTAATTTCTTTATCAACCATTGAATTATTTCACTTTTTTTTCTTTAAAATGTTAAATATTGAAATATATCAACGACCTACTATTACTATTTTTTATGTTGTCTAATTGCTTTAAGTTGGGAGGTGTTGTGAAACACATTTGATAACAATTCTTGTTTATAGGATTATTAGGATTGTTTTTGCATACATGTTAAAGATTAAAGAAGCAACAGTCAGAATATTTTTTTTGTAGACTGAATATAGGCTTATAAATATCTCAATCTTTTGATTGTTGAGAAGCCCATTAACTGTCATAGCCGACAGACAAAATGTTGGACATTGCATTATACCAAAAATTGGTAAAGGATTAAAAAAATGTATTATTTTTTTGTATTTATTGAATTAACTGTCATAGCCGACAGACAAAATTATACCAAAAATTGGTAAAGGATTTAAAAAATGTATTATTTTTTTGCATTTATTGAAAGTACAAGAACTTTTCTCTAACAACAAACATTTTGGCACATTTGTTGGACACAGGTACACACTCTGGGACGATAAGCAATAAATCCATTGATCGCACTAAAAATGAAAACGAAGTCGATCAATTTGCCGGCCTCGCTGATTTTCCATGTGCAGCCGTGTTTATTTTCCCTCATCTCTCGACTCCTAACAAGCTGGATTACAAGAGGATTCACTCTTTGCATCGGTCTCAGCACCTGGGCACGTTTGTTCCATAGCGGAATGAGCGCAGTGAACCCTCTTGTCAGTCATCCACTCTTTGTGGGGAGAGGCGGGGCCGCTGGAGTACACACACAGCAGGAACACGGACGAGCCAGAATACCAGTATCCTGTCGGATTTGTATGCCTCGTCAGATAAAAATATTGATTGATTTATTTATTTAGACCTGTTAAGAGCTCACTCAAAAAAGCGTATCGATAATTTGACCAAAATGCAAAATCGTCAGATAAAAATATTGATTGATTTAGATCTATTAAGAGCTCACTCAAAAAGCGTATCGATAATTTGACCAAATGTAAAACAAAAACAAAGAAATCAGAAAATCACTCCAAATGCAGAGTCACTCCAAATTCAATAAAATATCCTAAAACAAACACGCCCCTGTAAATAATTTGTGTAAAAATTAATTAATTAAATAAATCATATTTCGACCTGTGAAGAATTGACCTAAAAAGTATTTTTATACTATGACATTTGTGGGGAAAAAAATGCAAAAACAAACAAATCTCAAAAACACAAAAATAATTTCTGTTACATCTAAATATTCATTGTCATGTGAATAATTGAACTAAAATGCTTATCAATAATTTGATATTTCTGAAAAAATGCAAACAAATTTAAAAATGCCTCTAAATGAATTAAAATACCCCCAAACATACTCCCATGTAATGAAATGTCCTAAAAATTAGATTAAAAAAATCTTATTTTAATCTGTGAAAAAAGACGTAAAATATAAAAAAAAGACGTACTATATTGTGAAAAATGCAAACAAAATGAAAAAAATCTTATTTTAATCTGTGAAAAGTTTACCCAAAAAGACGTACCATATTGTGAAAAATGCAAACAAAATGACGATGATGATTTTTTTAAATGATTTTGATTTTTTTACGATAGTATGCAATTTTGGTCAATTTTAACACCAAGAGATTTTGTGTGCAATGTGCAACATGTTTACATGACATTGGACAGTGTATATATAATTAATTTGGAATATTTTTAACTGACTTTTGTGAACTGCATTAATAGCAAATGTATGCTTTTTGCCTCTTGTACAGCCTTTGGTTTTGGGCTAACTTTTGTTGACTGTTGTTGTTTTTTTACTGTCCATTTAAATATTTCTAGGACTGTCAGATTTATTTTAAGATATATATTTGTAGGCTTTAGGACCCAGCAGCAGAGTCTGGGCCTAAGCCTCCCTCCCTTCTGCAGAAGCCAGAGCAGGCAGACATCAGCGCAGTGCTACGACTCAGATGATGCACTTACAGCAGACCATTGGATGTTGTCTTTGCTTTCTTTATTAATCTGCTCATGGTTTAGAGTGTACATCAATGGGGCTGTGAAAATCGGAAACCTACCAGACATGGTCAAATGGCCCTTGTGGAGTGCAGCATCTAGACAACAATTTTTGGGGCATTCAGGCTCTTTCTCTGTCGATCAGGAGAGGGACAGTGGGGTTATTTAAAGAGAAACAGTTAGAGGACCAGAGGGATACAAGAGCAGTGGCAGAACCAAACCCCCTCCACCTCTGTCTGGATCTTCCTGCTAACACAGTCAAGACAAGGGGTTTGTTTGGGGTGGGCTCAGTGACCAGGAAACATGTCATTGACTAGGAGGAGCACTTATACCCGGGTGAGTGTGCACAAGGTGTTGATATGTCCTGGTTAGGTGAATGAATGGAGCAGACTGGGGAGCCTAAGTTAGTCCTGATTGGTGTGTCGTGGTTTCTTTTTAAATTAGTTTCACTGTGTCATCTTGTCTCAGTCGATGTCTGCTGTCAGTGCATGAGTTCCTAAGTCTGAAAAATTCCCTCTTTGTCTGTCTCCTATTTGCCTCGAGCTTCAGAGTCGCTGCTGTGACTTTGGAGTTCAGTCCCTTGCTGTAACTTAACTCTGTGGTCCTGTAAGATGAGATGTGATTACATGACAGAAAAATGATGTGATGGCTTCATACATCTTTGGTTATCAGTGGACACTGGACAGAGAGACTTCCTGTTTGTCAAGTGTCTGTGAGTCAGGCAACCCCGTCATTCTGAAGATGACATCAGTCTTTTTCTCTCCTTAAGATCAGAGTAATTCAGATATCTAATGTGAATATTTAGTTTACTGTAGGTTTTTATATATTTTTATAATTGCTCTATTTTTGTAACTCGCTATATTAAGGAAACAGAGCAGCTTGCCAAAATGTACCACAACTGGCACATTCTGTTATAGTACATCAAAGACGACTGTATCACTGTTTTTTTTACTTGTTCAGTGTTTTTATCATTAACATGAGAGCCTGGGTGTGTGGTAAGTGTAGAGTGGCATGAATAATTAAGTAAACCCCTTTTTGGTCATCACTGCCTGCAGCACATGGTGAACACATCACAGCAGTGAGTGCAAATCAAATAAATGTTTCATTACAGTTTGTTAAAATGCACATTTTAATTGCTTCAAGAACAAACATGACCTCCATAATGGATGTCTGATTTGAGGTACATTTAATCCCAGGAAACATTTAACCCATTTGTCTCACTGAAATCAACTTTGGACTGTTGCTGACAAGTGACAAATGAATGAATTCAGTGTTTTTATTTATGTTTGTTTAACATTTTTAATGTTTGGAAATGGAAAATAATTTTAATTTATCTTGACAGTTAAAAATAATTACCTTAGTTAATTTGGAATTATGCAATTGCTGGAATACAGTTTGGTGTAATGCTAAAATCTGTCATCATACTTGTAATGTTTTCACATTTTTAAGTTGACCTAGATTCCTTACTAATTTATGGAAAAAAAAATTCTAAAATTAAACAGAACCAGTGACAACAGAACAATGGTCTCCATTTGAAGAGCTGGAAAAGTAACGTCTTAGTTTCTCTGTTGATAGGTGTAGTTCTCCTCTGATGTAATTAACCATTCGAGCCACCAGTGGGCGTCTTTTCTTTGAATTATCTCCAGACAATAGACCAATATCTTTCTCTGGTGTTGTGTTGTCCCTGTGGTTCGGACTGGTGAGTTCTACATTTGTAGAGTTGGCAAAGTCTTGATCTGAACAACCAGTGAATGATGTACATCTGAAGAACCATGAAACAAATCTGTTCTTATTTCTGAAGGGCCCATTATTGCTTTTGTGGTTTGAAGCTGTGAATCCTTCATCAGTGATGATCTTGTCAGGAACGGCAGAGTTAGGTGAAGTTTTGATGTCAGTGGTGTCTTCTGATCTATCTCTTTCTGCTGCTGTTCTGTTGACTTTGTGGACATTATGTGCGTTTGTTGCCATTGGTTGTATCTCACTGATGGAAGCAGCAGCTTTGTTGTCTGATAGGTCTTCAGTTAAATCACTTGGAAAGTTTGTCAGTGTAAGGAAAGGATGAAGCAGAGCTTCACTGGGGCTGATTCGTTTTCTTGGATCTACCTCCAATATCTGTTTGAGGAGACTAACAAAGGCCTGTGTGTCTTCGTGTCTTGCTGTACCTGGACGAGCCCTTACAAGATCCTCCAGACTGGAAAACCGTCTTGATGACCTTCCCTTCTTCAGCTGGTGAAGGCTGCTCTTCCCACTGGTCGTGGAACTTGTGGAGATGTTTCCTGTTGGACAGCTGCACTCTGTCTTCAGTTTCCATGTCCCGTCCTTGTCTTTGTGAAAATACTCCTCAGTGTAAAGTCCAGAATTCAGCAGTTCATCATCAAGCTGACCATGAAACTGAACAATATCGTCCAGTTTAGCTAGCTCACAGGTGCTGGAATACAACTCATTGTTAATGTAGAGTGAAGCAATGACTGACCCCAGAGCCCACATGTCCACAGCCTCACTGAGAGGAAGACCCAGTAGAACCTCAGGGGCCCTCTGAGGAAGGAGCTGTAGGATGTCACCACATCTTAATTCACAGACGTCTTGAGCCACACCAAAGTCTATGAGCTTTATGTTACGAGGCTCCAGCTGCTGATTTCTCCACATGATGTTGTCCAACTTGATGTCTCCGTGGACCATTTGAATGCTCTTCAGAGCTTTCAGAGCCACCAGCATCTGTTGAGTGATCACTTGTATCTCAGAGAGATGCAATGGCCTGCTGGACTGTTCCAGAAAATCCTGGACATTCATGTCAAGTTTTTCAAACTCCAGAAGATAGTTCTTCTGAATCTCTTGGTACCTGTTGAACCTGACCAAGCAGTTCTGGTCTGGGTCAAACTGTTGGAGTTTTTTAAGGTTTCTCACCTCATCTTCAGCAAACTCAGTGTCTTCTTCTAGTATTGTTTTCACAGCCACCATCTCTTCTGTGTCCGATCTCGTACACAGGTAGACATAACCAAACGCTCCACGACCCAGCAGTTTCTTCACTTTGTAGTCTTTTGATTCCAGTAGTGGGAGAAGATCATTCATTTGTGATGCAGCCGTGATTGAGAAGAAAATTCCCTGGTCTTTTACTTAAACATTTTTTATTATATTTTTTATACAAGATTCTGAGACCTACAGCTTATCAACATGAACAATTATTTCCTTAATAATTTGTTGTATTCTGCTTCCTTGTGGATTAGTGTTAGGTTTAGATCCAAATTATATATATATATAATATACAAAATATTCTGCCTTAATACTTTTATATGAATGGTCTTTAAAGGCTTTATTGATTTTGACATTAAAGCCTTTAATGTCAAAGGCTTTAATGTCAGCCATTTTGGCTGTCATGGTTACAGTACATATATAGTTCTAGACTTTTGTCTTCATCATTTGTCTTTTCTGAGACTTAATTTAGATGTTCCTTCATGGAAACAGTGGATACCGTCTAACATGTATGTTCAGCGGTTACAGCACACAGACAGTGTCCACTTTTAGTGAGCTGAAATACAGTCACATCATGTTCTTCTCCCAGTGTAATGAAATCTGTTCCTCTCCATCCTGTTCTGCTGACTCACCCTCACTCCCAGGACAGCACCCAGTAAAATGGGTTACACAGGATTTTTCAGTGACACACTACAGCAAACTCAAGTCAACTTACTTCTGTTAAAAATATTTTACTGCAGATTCTTTTCTCACATCAAAATGATGGCATGGTTTTAGGTGATTGTTGCTGTAGAATTTCTGTGTAAATGTGGCTCCAGAGCTACAAAGGATTTTGCTTTAGCATGCGTTGACATTTAAAGAGGCTTTTCCTGCCTTTTGTCCTTTTATCTTTTGCTGCACAGCTCAGTGAGTCTGAATGACACTAACACTACTTTTTGTCCATGACTGTTCCTTTGGCCCAGGTCACTGTGTGCAACATTGTTCCATAAAAGTGTCTCAAATGTACTGTAAGGACAATGAATGGCATTCTGATAACAGTTCATTTGTAGGTTTGTTTTGTCAGCGTATTTTTATGTAACAGAGTGGTAAAAAATAGACCTGAATCAAAGCTTGTTGTTACAAAAAGCTTTTAGAAACCAGGGTTCTTTGAAAATATTAAAAGTTAAAAAAAAAAACCCTTAATTTTTTTAATTTATTTTTCCATGAGTGGAATAACTATACATTTGAAATATTTTTAATGCTAATGTGACTAATGGTCACTATAGTATTAAATTATTACATTATATTCACTACATAATTATTATTAATTAAATATAATTATTATAATAATTATTACATTATATTCATTACATTATAATGAATGGATTCACCTCTTGGTGCCTCCAATTCCTGCAGATTTTTTGTCTGTTTTTTCACCGTCAGAACACGAGCAGTGGCAGCAGCAGGATGAGCTCGGACGGAGGAGGGCGTCCCGTCAAAGTGGGCTCCCTGGTGGAAGTGATTGGGAAGGGGCAGCGCGGCACAGTGGCCTACATTGGTACCACACTTTTTGCCTCCGGGAAATGGGTGGGAGTCATTCTGGATGAAGCCAAAGGCAAGAACGATGGCACAGTGCAGGGCAAGCGCTACTTCACCTGTGATGAGAATCGTGGGATATTTGTGAGACAGTCCCAGGTAATTAAAGAAAAGTTTATAAAAAATACTAACGTATTTCCATAATGACATAAAATTGTTCTCTTGACTTTTATGATTGAGAAAGTACATTTAGAAGATGTTTGGTGAAAGCGACACATTTATGTCATCCCTTGAACTGGGGCTTTGTGAAACCTGTACTGGTATTACTGCTCTTTCATCCATCCATTCATCCATCCATCCATTTTCATCCACTTATCCGTTACCGGGTCGCGGGGGCAGCAGTCTCCATGACCGCCACCCAAATCACACTGCCCCGTACCAACCCCTCTGAACCTTCCTGTGGGGGGTGAGTCCACTGGAAGGTACCAACCACCTGATTTGAACTTGCCCAGGTGAACCCTGGGGTTCCACACCAATGACAGAGACATTGACTCTGAGCCAAAGCGCCACTCTTTTAAACCTGATATAATTATATCTTTGTCATAAATTTACTAAACAGATTGCAATTAAAACTTGAGAAATCTTCCTCTAATCAATCAGAATGTTTCAGTGCTTCCTGTATCTGTTCCCTATTGATGACATTTTTTCCTCTTACTGCTCCACTTCATTATGTCTCTCACTTCAATGTAGTCTCTGTTTGTCCTGATTGTCCCTGGAGAGGGTTCTGCCGTGGAGAATTTCAACTCATGGAGTGCATGCTTCATCTCATCAAACAACTCATTTTTGCTTTTTCTAACCTGCTTTTTGTAATATGTCCTGCCCCCAACCCTCCAGCCTCTCCTTGCCCGCCCCACCTCCTCCCTGTAACAGGTAAACATGTTGTTAATGGTTAAAGAAAATGTTACAGAAAATGTAACTTGTTGCCTTCTTCCTGCCTTTTTTAAAATCTCAGATACAGCTGGTTGATGATGGAGCAGATACCACATCCCCAGAGACGCCAGAGCCAGGCACTGGCAAAATTCCCAAAAAAGGTGAGGATCTGCTCACATATAGCACACATTCACACAGATCCAAACGGTCACTATTTTATCACATTTTCCTTCACAATTACTCAACGTTCAATTTCCTCAACAACAAGAATTGTGAACACCACAGGAGTTTAAAGGTAGTTACAGTCGGTTGAATGGGTAAACAGTAATTGTTTGAATTAACACTGTACTCTTAATGACACTGATGTCTTATCGTGCTGTTCTCCATGGTGGACATGTTCAGACTACCCAGTCATTATGTTATTTACTTCTGTGACTTTTGTGGACAGCATTGTTTCATTGTACGTGTAAATATGTTTCTTTTATGTTCACCAATGCATTCAGGAGTAATGTTCGAGGTTGATTTTAGACTAACAATCAGTTTTACCTTCTGTTTATACCAGAGTGTATGTGCTGCTGGGCTGTTTCCATGAGAACTCCTCACTGCTGCAGTGTTGAATGGAGGTGAACGTGGGGGTGTTTGGTGCTTTGTTTTTCAGCTGACTAACCTGCCGACACAGAAAGGAGTTAAAGGTGTAAACAGCCCTTTTCAGTTTTAATGATCTGACACGTTTGCAAGAATGAAGTGGGGGGTTCCATCTGATGAGAGATGATTTATTATGGATCTTGGAATTTATTTAAACCCTAGAGGTTTAAACTGAATTTTTGTGAACAACCCCCTCCTGCTCCAAAATCTGCACATTCTGTAGAGGAAAAAAGAGAAAATAGCTGAACAAAGTATAATTCATTCTCAGTGACCTGTTAAATGGCTGAGAAATTCCTTTTGGATGGTTGTGATATTGTTTTTATCTTAAGGGCATTTATACATACTCTATTTGTTTTAATTTGACAATCAGATCTGTAAAAGAAACCCGTGTCCTCCTCACACCAGGATGTGTGATAACGTGTACTTTGTTTGATGATCATAAATGTAGGCTACAATATAAGTATGTTTCTCTTTATCTCTTCAGAGATCCTGGAGACGTCCAGGTCCAGCAAGGGGGTGAGTCAGAAAACACTGAAGCAAAAACACACATACACACACACACTTTTTATTATTGTAGACACTCATTGACACAAAGCGTTTCTCAGCCCATTTATTTTCTTCCACTACAGAAAACGCCCCATGTACAAACACACACACTCACACTGACACACGTAGGTTCTTTCTTAGGTGAATGAACCACGTCCAGTCTTTCTGTTGCTGCTGCAGTGCTGCACCTGCACTGCTATCCAAGCCTTATTTAACTCTGCTACTTCATCTTTTATGACTGGTTTTATAAAAATTGGTTTCTACTTTGAATGTGTGTGTCATGGTGTGTGTGTTTGGAGGTGCTGAGTCACCTGCACACTGTGGCTACTTTTATTTTTATCATAGAAGGAAATGGAATATGCGAGTGCTTTGGAACCTGCTGCGCACATTTTATTTGTAAATGTGTAGTGGCTGTTCATTTTATTTGACTTTATTTCATTTTTTAGCTTCACAATTAAACATATTAATTATTCATAATGTATTCTTTATCACATTTACAGTGACATCATTTTTGTTCTCAACGCCCCAAATTCATTAGAATATACAAGTCTATTCTGTTCTGTTTTGAAGTAACTGACCAGCAGAGGGCATTGTTACCCACCGCAACAGTAGTTGTAGTTTTTGATGAGTTTATCACATCAACCCAGTTTAATGATCTGTATTATTTTGGAACCATGTTGAGTAACTTTTTTACTACTATACAAATTTAGGCTGTTCTGGATTAATTGACAAAGTCATCAGTAAATATTCATGTTAAATATCACAACAGTGTTTATCATTCGCATCTTTGCTACTATTACAATTGTACAAACCTGTCAATCTTTCTGACATGTGTTGAGTAACGTTATTAATATAACAATATCCTCCAATATTTTTCTCAAAAGTCGGCCTGAACCAGTCAGGTCTCCTCTCTGGATCGGAGCTTAAATGTCAACATGTTCATGTTGAAGCATCTGACATTTAGTGGATGATCCATCAGTGAAGTCAGACGTACTGACCTGGAGCTTTTCTTACATTTTTCTTCACTTGTCGTCAGGAGAAAACCAGAGAAAACCTGCTGTAAATGTGAAGGTCATGTTTAATATCAGCCCCTGTGGAATGTATTTTCACAGTAACAGATTTAAATGTGATGTTATTTCTCTAGTTTATATTAATAGGACTGTCCTCCTCCTCCAACAGAGATTTCAAATTAAGTGTGTGTGTGCGTGTGTTTGCAAGTGAGATAAAGGTTTGTCGCTGTGGTAACTATCCTACATTTCCACTGTGGATGACGTATCTTTGTGGCCCATCAGCAGAGAGCACTGACCCACCCACTCCACACCCTCCTCATCTCCTGCATGTCAAACTGACAGTCTTCTCCCTTCACCCTTCCCTCCTTCCTTTCTTTCTCTCCTTAACTTCTTTCCCACAAACCATGCAGCGAGGAGTGAAGCCCAAAAAGGTGCTGCATGTTTCCATAACCTTGGTTCAGTGGTAATGTGATGATGACCATGCCCATGATAATGATGATTAGAATGTTCTGGTCACGATAAGAATGCATGACAAATGTAGCCCGCCCGTCATTTACCCATGGTCCCTCACAGCTAACCACGCCTTTGTGCCAGCTCTGTCTCCCATGACGGTGTCCATGTGAGACAACATGGACACGGCCGTCTGTTCTCCACCCACACGACCTCAGACCCCCGTCCCCATGCTCTCTGCTCTGGGCTGTTTACACCTGCTCAGCTCTGTGGCTCAGACATCAAAACACTGGTGTTATTTTGTATCGTTTGCTCAGTCTGTACATGTGAAAGAGGGATAAAAAAAAATCAGAGTTTGATTTTTGCTTTAATATATTATATATATATTAATATGGTAATAGTTTGCTTTTTTACAGTTATATTTGCTATACCATGTTATACCCATAGGTTTTTTTTTAGCTCTTCTTTGCAGAAATAATATAATCCATTTAAGCTTAAATAAACAAAAAATTATTGTATTTCTTGAAAAAGTAGAGAAAATAACTCTCATCAACATAATTGATCTTGGTGATGCACTTGTTCTTGTTTGAAGGTTTGATGTTAAGTGACCTTAGCTTCCATTATGCTGAGCGTCTGGTGCTCTCACGGTCCTCGTCCTCTGACTCATTCTTGCAGACCATTTCTTCAGCACTTTAAAAAGAAGTCAGATAGTGACAGAGGTGAAGTCTCTTTGTTCTTCTTCCTGTTTCACACCGACATACATGTATCTGTTCAAAGAGTGGCTTGTGGGCCTCACTCAGCCCAGACCACAATATTAAAGCGGCCTGGTGAAACTGAAAGAATCTGAACTGGCGAATAAACAGAAATTCCTAAAGATGAAAAACCAAGAATGCAGAATCCATAGATCAGAAACATGCCCCCCCCCCCACCCCGTCCCGGCAGTGTTAGCAGATCACTGTACATCTCTATAACAACGACTGCCTGTAAATGTAGAATTATCAGTTAACTCATCCATTCAACGCTGCGTGTCCAAATGGGTTTCATTTAACAGTAACGTCTGGTGTATCAGTTTATAAGAAGTTGAACAAAAGCATTTAAAGGACGGTCAGTTTATATATATTTTTTGGAGACAATTATCTGATCTGACAGAACCTTATCATGTGATGCTGTGCTGCTGCTTTTAAAGTAAGTGCAGCTCAGTTCACTGCAGCGTCCTCAGAGGACAAGATCCTCCGTGTGTCTGCCGGTGGAGCCGTAACCTGATACTGCCCCACCCTTCCCATTATCCTCTCTGTCTATCCATCTTTTTCTCACCCATTAGATTGTGATGAGTGAGGAAAGCAGGGAGATTAATATTTCAATCCCTCTGAATTTGTTTCTCATGCAGCTGCTGTGTAATGGATACAGGAAGACAGATTTTGTTTTCACTTCAGCAGACCTGGGTCTGACTCAGTGTCTCATGCACTTCCTTATACTATTGCATTTGCATGTTCAAAAATATATGACAATAATGTGATGAAACCAGATCCTTTTAGGTCTTATCTTAAAATTACTTTTATTTTTTTTAATTTCAGTTTTTTTTCAATGGCATTATTTTTTTGTACCCAATTAATAACTCCTGAAACGTTACATTACTGAAGCTCTCAACCACTGGGCTTTTTTAAAGTCTGAAGCCACATCATTAAGGTTGTCAGCTCTGTCCTGTGTTAACAAAGAAATGTAAACAGTGGTGAATCTGTGGAACAGCCTGGATGACTTTAAAACGCCGTGTTTTACTCACCTCATGAATTCTCTTGTATGTTGAATGATGATTAAATATAATGAAAAGACAATAATTCAAAACGCCATGTGTGACTCACACCAGGTGTCAGTATATATTATAGTCAGATTCATCATCATCGGGTCACAGCAGATGATAAACATTGCTAGGAGACAGAGGAGAGGTTTCAATCGCTCCTCAGCCCTGCCTTCCCCCATCACCTCTGTTTACAGTCCCGCCCTCCTGTCTGTCTCTCTCTCTCTCTCCTTTCTGTGGTAGAGATGATGGGTGGATGAGCAGGAGGGAGAGAGCGAGAGAGAGACAAGACAAAGCAAGTAGGAGAGAGAGAGAGAGAGAGGGGGGATCGAGCAAGAGAGAGAGAAGGGAGGAGGCTCAGAGTGATGTAATGCAGGAGCAGCGACCTAGCGGGGCTGAAAATTTACAATAAGCCGAGGCTGGTGGTGATGGTGGGTGGAGGAAAAGAGGCGAGACATCTCCTGCAAACAGCAGAAGGCTGGGAACCAACGAAGGGAGGATGTCAGAGCCATAACTGGAGCAGACAGGAAAAAAAGGAGGCAGCGGCTCTCAGGGCTCCTGCAGGCAGATGCTGAGAAAGGGAAGCTGAAGGAGGAGCACATTAGCAGAGAAGAGAGGACTAGACGAAGGGAGAGTGATTCTGAGAGAAAAAAAAATCTAAATCACCAGAGCAGCCATTTGCACCACTGCAGCTTCTCTGCCCGAACTGCTGCTGCTGCCGCCTGTTTGACTGACTGTTCAGCTTCAGCTCTCTGTAGTTCCATGCCCGACCTGGTCCCTGAAGATCCATCATCTTTGTCGCTTTTATCACCTGTGTCTGTGTTTGTCTGACTTGTCAGTGACTCTGTTGTGTCTTCTTCTCTTGCAAATATGATGAGACAGACTCCTGCTCCACGGAAGGTACAGAACTTCACACGATTGCCCTTTTCTCTCTGGTTGTTGCTGTTGTCATCAATCTCATCGTCATCATTGTCGTGTTTTTATTTGACTGGTGCTGCGATGGTCATCAAGTTTTTTTTTTTTTAAGTTCTTCCCATTTTAAGCGATATTACTAATCCTCAGTGTGACGGCAGCTTGGCTGCTCGTTATCACTCATGTTGTTTTTTTTCACCTTGTTTTACGTTAGTGAAGATTTATTTTGGTGTTTTCTGAGCTGCTCTTCAAGCTTTCACATTTGTTTTTTTTACCTCATCTTAGAGGAGCTTCAGATAATCAACCACCAAGAGATCATTTCATCAGCGTTTGCAGATGCAGCAGATGAGGGGAAGTGAGTTTAGCTGATGCTGTTGTGCAGAGAAAGACTGTGGCCAGAGAGAAGTGTCAGTTGTGATTCAGTGCAGCCGTGAGCTCAGCTTCATTTCTGCTGAAGGCTCCAATTCTGAGGACAAGCTGTGGTCAGAGCTGAGCCAAAACACAGACGGTGACAGAGAGAGTTGACAGTAAAGGTCAGCAGGGAGACCTTAAGAATCAAGAAAATGATATGATATATTTACTTTAAATGAATACACATCATTATTTTGCAGATGTTTTCCCTCGCCCTCTATGGATAACTATGGATTATCAACCAGTCTGCTCCATGTGTCTGTTTAAAACCCTAACCAATTCACGTAGTAAGACGTAGTAATGTCAGATATTTTTGTCAAGAACATGAGCAGTACTTTAGGTAAGGATTATTTCTGTCGTAAATCAGACAACTTTATCTTTTGTTTTGGACAATTGATGAGTTCTGGTCTCTGTGGGAAATATTAACCAGGGTCTTTTAAATGTAAAATTAACCAATCAGTTAATTTCCATAAACAAGGAACATAAACCATAATAAAACCACAGAAGAAGCTGGAACCAGAAAAATAAAATAAAAAACAAAAATATTAAATCTAATATGTAATAACTTTTACTTTAGAGAAATATCTGGGATGTACATTTTGATTATATGATTGATTAACTTGAATTAGAATTAATTTAAACATTTGTTTATTTATTTATTATTTAAAATCATTTGTAAAGTGTATTGGTTAGTTCTATGTTGAGATTATTTACAAATAACTTTGAATTTTTAGTTGTGATGCTAATGCTGCTGCTGTGTGATGTGTAGAGCAGCCTTTATCCTTGGATTGTCAGAACACGAACTGTACCCAGATGATACACGTCTGCTGTTCACTCACAGACACAATCCAGTCATTTAGGTGACAGCGGCAGCACCAGTCACTGTGTCCATGTTTTTATTACTGAGGGCTGGAGTCACATGGGTGGAGGAGATGGGGGCCCGAGGACCAGAGGGGAATAAGAGAGAGGCTTTTTTAAAAATGAAACCAGTCATGTTATTAG